GGTGAAGGAACAATGCTGTATTCATTGCCTGTGACTGCATGAAGTCCAAGATCTTGAGAATGCGGAGCCGAAAGTCTTCTCCAGTTGTCCCTCGTTGCTGATGAAATGCCTTGAGGGATTCGGTTGTCTGGCAAGCAACCGGATGTGCACGAGGGGCATAGTCTCGCTCGTCTTCGTCATCAAAGAATTCGTCGTCGTTGATCTCGAGATCGTCTTCGATAGGGTCGCCAACTTGCTCATCAAAAGGCATATTGAGTTAAGCAGTATATATTTATGAGAAAGTACACAGAGCCGGGACGAAACGACGCTAAATCACTAGGTTTGCCTATCGCGACTGGCCTACGCGCCCGTCACGTGCGCGCGATCCACACCCGCCCGACCGAGATTCACCAGACATTCTGGTCAGAACCCGTACTTCGATTTTTCGAAGTCCGATATGGGTTCCGCCCGGAGCCTTCCGGGCGTACCAGAATGGCTGGGGACGAGACTAGCTGCAATGTAGTACGACGCCGGAAGCGATGACCTGAATTCGACGTTCCGCGCGCTGGTTGTTAAGGTTTGGCCATCTGTATTCTTCGTGCGAAAACATCGGACTAATATGGCGCAGTGCGGATTCTCTTCGCTATCGATCCCACAGCGTGTACGTTGCGTGTCCTGGCTGGCTTCGCGCCGCCATAGTGATTCTGTCAACCCGCCCTACACCATCCAACTCGCCCCCCATGTTCTTCTTCCATCGTCCGCCATCAGCTCCTGATGAAATCTACTCGTCGAGTCTTGCAACACTCCACGAGGGCCACGCCTTGTGGTATCCGGAGCCACACGCGTCGGGCGAGCCGCAAATCGGAGACGTCGGCTTCATGCGCAAGGGAGCATTCATCAGACTCTTCAACCTCGACACCTCCGCGCCTGAGAAGAAGGTCGTATTCTGGGACCCGCCGTTCGAGATCACAGAGCCCTTACCTCCAGGTGTACTCAAGATCGATCCCAGGCGTCGTCCACTCGTTCCCGCCCATTATCGCAGTCATGGAGTTGAGAGCAGGCAATCACATGCCTCAGCAGACATGTGCGTGTACTTGCTTATCCGATGAAACATTTTCGCTGACGGTCTGCAGAACGGCTGGTGCGAACGTGTCCGTGACGCTGAGCGCGGAGTACACATGCAAAGCATCACAAGGCGCGGTGCTTGCGCTGAAGAGCGAGGCAGACGGCGAATCGATATTCGACAACCTGGCCTTGAAGGAGTACGTTATCCGGCACCATGGCAAGTGGTACGCATATGCCAGGGGCGTTCTCCGCCAAGACGTTAAGCGGAGAAACATCGTCATGGTCATTGGGTGGGTCAAGACCGAGGCCGACTGGGCGACGGTCGCCTTCAGCAACACGAGTACAAGCTCAAGTGTCTCGATCGAAGGCCATGCCGGAGGTGTTGCGGGGCTGGGCGCGGGTACATCGCACACGAGTTCTGTGACTGGTCCGACGATGCAACGACAGGGAGAGAACTACATAGTGAATGCTCCTGGTCCCGTTCCTGCAATGCCGAAGAGAGACCAGTCCGTCTTCGTAAAGCGCTACGAGGTGCGGAGGCGGCTTGGCGTGCTGAAGGAAGTTGTCGCGGGTGCGGGCTACCACCGGCTCCCGGATGCAGGAGACGGAAGGGGTGGCTCGGCGGAAGAAGGAATCATGGCGCAAGAACTTGGAGATATCGACGAGACAAGCATTCTGGATCTTTGGAATGAGGTACATGTTCCCTTTCGTTACAATGTAGCACGAGGCGCATCTAACGACGGCACACCAGGGTGAGATATACGACCCACTGGATGTCCTTCTCGAGTACATACTCGAGGTACGCCTGTTCAACGGCTTATTCATAACGTCGCGGTGCTAAATATGTATGACAACAGACTACCGATGTCGAGACTGCCATTGCGAGCGATGATGATGTCTGGAGCATTATCGTACGTGCCATGACACACATTTGAAAAGTGCGATAAGACTCATTCTCGGTCAGGGCGGCAAATCTGTGGTTGATTTCGCAAGCTACCTTCGACGAGTGCAGCCTCCAGTACAGGTCGACGGCACAGGTGAGTCTCTGACCTGCTGGGCGGCAATGGTCTCTGACTGACCCGACTCCCCACGCAGTAGGATCGCTGTGTATGGAGGATATCATTTCCCATGAGCAAGAACTCACTTTTACTCGTCGGACCATCACCGCGCCCGACTTGGCCGAGTGGCCAGACGCCGCCGTAGACGCCGCTGGTCGCTTGGAGGATGGGAGCGTCTTCACCGACTCCTCGAAGGCAGAGACCCGGTCTCTCAAATCGAAGCAGATCGTCTTCGCCGATTCACGAGATCCATACCGTCACTGTTTACGCTTCGCTTTGTCGGCCGATGGCAAGCTTCTGGCGGCGTCGTTCGGACGTAGCGACGTCCTCGTATGGCGACTGTCCGACGGTCTCCTGGTTCAACTTCTACATTGCCAGGACCATCTATACCAGGTCCTTGGCCTCTCCTTTTCCCCCGTCGACTCCAATCTTGCCTCAGGGTCCAGAGACGGGACCGCAACTGTGTGGGATACTCGACATGGCCGCATACTTCTACATCTGGAAGGCAACGGTGGGCCAGTGAGCAGCATTGCATATGCTCCCAACGGCGCGGTCATCGCCACCGGTTCTCATAAAGATAAATCCGTCAAGATTTGGGACGCCTCGAGTGGAGCATGCTTGCATTCATTCAGCGCTAATGAAGTCGTATACAAACTCGCCTTCTCCCCCGGGGACAACTCGTGCCTCTACGCCGAACTTGAGACGTCCTCCATCATCTATGACATCCATACCTGTACGCACACTGCTACGTTACAGCTTGGTGCCGGGAAGATGCTCTACTCGTCGATGTCTCACCAAGGCGATCGCGTAGTCGCCAGCCCATATTCGGATTTCCCAGGACAAGTCAAAATATGGAGCGCGGTGACCGGCGAGGAGCTTCTCACGATTGAGCACCCGAAGAAGCTCGCACGTCCTGTGGCATTCTCCCCAGACGGCGCCGAGATGGTGGCGGCTTGCGACGCGGATGTGGCAGCCGTCGTGTATGACTCGAGGACAGGCCAACTACGCCATGTCTTCAAGCTGGGAAAGCCGGCGTATCATGCGACGTACTCCCCAGATGGAGGCTATGTCGCCTTTGGTTCCCTGGACGGAGATCTGGAGCTGTACGATGCGAAGTCTGGGACATTCCTCGCAAAGTTCGACAGGCACGAAGGGAGTCACGAGCTCCGGGAGTTGCGGTTTCTATCTGACAGCCAGACCCTTCTAGCACAGTCTCAACAGGGACCTTTACTTCTGTATAACATTCGAGATGTATTGCGAATGCGATAGCGTAGTATTGGTGTAACAATGCCTGCCCGGCTCAGCATGCTAGTACAGCAGTGCAGACAACAAGGAATGTGCGCCGAATATGATGTGATGTGAGCGAGGGCTGAATGCAACGAACGAGTACGCGCATGTATGAGTAATAACATCGCAGTACAGATAGCAGGCCTAGAAAAAGACCCGGCTTGCGAAGGTGATTCAGGACCTAAACGAGCGGGTGTAAGGTGCTGTCGCGCAGTGTAAGCGGCACATCGAGTTATGTGCCGACGCCTCACGTATTCTTGGAAGTGTGCTATCACTCAGCTGAAATGCCATAACGCGGTCAATGCGACCGGAGGTGTTGCCATTCGACTTCCCGTTAGCAATGAAAAGTCGTGCGACAGTTCAGACAGTGGCAGACACCGTAGCTCACATGAGATATATATCAGGCAGAGAATGCAGACGTAGCGACTTACAACAATCCCTCAGATGAGATGTAAACAGCACCAGGCCGAGACCATACAGGAGGCGACCGAGCAGGAACATCCGCCAGCGCAACCACCGGCTCTCCAAGGCAAACGACAAACTAAGGGGATGAATTCCGGGAAACTAACAGCAAGGGATTCCATACAAAAACCGAGCTTTATGCAAGAGAACCTCGTCATCGAAAGGTAACTAAAAAACACAAACTTGCGGACGACGCTCAGCCAAGGATGCCCTCGTTGTTCGGCATCACGGCGACTCGCCAAGCTCGCTGTACCACGCAACCCGGGGCCGCTGCGCCAGTGCGATCGCACTTCTTCTAGGCTGGCAGGATCTCGACGCGCCTCAAAGGCGGCAACTACGAGCGCGACGTCAGAAAAATCGCGTGAGGGAAAGAGGAATCGTCCTCACGTTGTGAGCAGTGTCCGAGTGGTCGTAAACACAAAAAAAAAGAGAACGCCGTCGTCGCGACCTTGCTGATGTACCTCACCAGCAGGTGGCACCTGCCCGGGTCCAGAAGTCAGCGAATGAAGCCCACTATAACGATGAGCGGGCGTTTGGCGGTCGGTTCCTGGACTACATGCGAGTCAACAAACGTCACTGGACGCCACGAAACGCTTAATACTGAACATACAGGTCTCCCAGCCAGTCACCGGCAGCTCCTGGACGTCGGGTGCCCGCGCAGGGCCGTCCTGCATCGCCTACAGCTACTTCAGCTCCACCGTCGGCTGATCCTTCTTCACTTCGTTCTCGGAAAGACCTTCAGATCGCTCGCCAGGCCCAGCTGCACACGCCCAAGTAAACGACTTCGTCGGGCTGTACTGGTACTACCTGATCGTATTCCGGTAGTCCATCGGGAACTGGTGACGGAAGCTGTGGTGGCTCTCGCCAACGGCGACGAGCGCGATAATGAAGTGGATGCCCGGCGTGTGTTTGTCGTCGACGACAGGATTCTCGCCGAGCCGGAGTGCGAGAGAGCTGGCGCAGAAAGTTGACTGCAAGAAAGTTAGTATAGGCACGTATGCATGTAAAACAGAAGGCAACGTACGTGGTGAACAAAGCACAGGTGAACTGTACCCGCGAAGAATGACCTGATCTTCCATTTCCCCCAGCCAAGCCCGGCAACGACGATGAGCAGGACCAAACCGCAGCCGAGGAGCAGCCGGGCGCACCACTGAATGACGGGGCCCTTGCTCAGGTCGCTGACGTCGGCCATACAGGGTTGTGTCGCGGCCTGAAAATCAGCTGGCCAACGTGGGAGTACCGGGAGCCTGTGCGCGCAAGGTACAGATGTCGGCGTAGCGGTGGTGGGCGCAGGGACCGCAGCACTACCGCCTGATTGAACTTGGACCGTGCTTGCTTATGCCCACGATCACGGGAAAGTACTTGAAAGGCTTTGAGGCATTATATGACCGGTGCACCCACAGATGGCGATGATACCTAGGTGACGGTTCAGCACAAGAGAGGGCAGGATACAGCAGGGCGACGCACCAAGGTCCTTTAGACGACACCCCAGACAAATGTCTACCTGTGTCGTGATGGCGAACAGATCTAGATAGCGATGGCAGGAATAGTGGAGAGGATATTGAGGCTCAAACGTTGAACATTCTAAAAGAGCTTATCAGGGGTGGCTGAGGGCAGAGGCCTCTGGTTCTTGAATGTCGAGGCGATATGGTTGTCAGCAATGTTGGCGTTGTTCGCGTCCCGACGACAGAAACATAGTGGGGAGGTGTAAAGAGGGGAGAGGATGAGAAGAAATAAACTCTAGTCGTGATCGTCGCACGTCAGGGTTGCGCGAGCCCTAACCCTAGCAGGCAGACCACTGATGTACGCTGGCCCCCATAAACCTGCCTATTCGACTGCGCACGCCGTTCAGTGGCCATGGCCGTCCGCTTCCACTTCAAGATCTTCCTCAGCCGTACATGTGGAGCACGGCGCTGCGGGTCTTTTCACGTACGAGCGAGCGGTCCATATGTCAAGGGAGCTAAGGTGCATTGTCATACTCTAACTGCTGAGCCCTGCTTGCTGAATCCAGCTGTAACTTCTCAGCGTATGCGCCCTAACTACTGCTCTTGCCTGCCAATCTCGACGACTCGACCCGGGAAGCACCTTGCAGCTGGCCGAGGCTCATCCTCATGCAGCAAGCTCACTGAGCACCAGCTATTCCTTCTGTCAACTTGACACCGCGTCGTCGAACCACCTACACTGCTCGCTGTACGCTGTATGTCCTTTCTTGGCCAGCTCATATATGCGGTATGCCTTATCTTTGGCCGCAGGCTACGACCTACATCAAGAGCTCCCATCACCTTGTCGGCGTCCGTGTACGTGGTGTCGTAAATCAATCACACGCATTCTGCCGTTGCGCTGCGTTATGCTCCCGTGACAAAGATGTTGCCCTAGTAAGTTTCCTTGATCCTCGGATAGCACCACCGTCCTGACTCCGACCTTAGGCTGGCTTACAGATCTGCGCATACCGGCAGTCGCTTTTGCAATGGCCGCATCAGCACTGCAGCAGCCCTTCGCGAGACCTGATCAACTGATTTCAGTCACCGCGAGCCGACTTCACGTTCGCGGTCATCAAAATGCGCGCTGTACATATCAACTTCGACAGGACAGGAGGGGTACCTTCGAGAGCGACGACCCTCGCAGATGCACGTTCGACGCGGAAATTGCTCCACGGACAGAGCAAGTGGCTATCGGAGCTACTCTTCGATGCTGGAAAGAGGAATCTCAGCAACGCTCCAAAATCCGCAGTCCGACTGCAGCAGAAGCTCGCTGTACATTGTAAACTCTTTAATCGATTGACTCATGAACACAGCCGTTCTGAAGATCACGACAATCAAGATTGGCCAATGTATAAACATACCTACTGATGCAATGAGACTGCAAGAGCACGATGCTTGGTGCGCTGTGTGCTTTTGCAAGGGGCTTTAGAACGGGCGCCAAACACTGGGTCTCCAGGAGATTCCCATGTTCTGGACGACGGCGGAGAGGCCGGCCCCAATCTTGGAAATTTCGAACGCTGTCGATACGACACTGTGCAGAGGCGTGCCAATTGTGTTGAAAATACCATCCAAGTAAGTTTTATTCTCGACCTTGGCTATGCTGGTTCTCATCTAGTAGCTGCGTCGCAGATCGTCCCCCCTGTCACGAACACCTTTCAAGGCTGGGTAGAGCATGCGGCGAATATCATTGTTGGCGACTCAAGCGAAGAGGTGGATCTACTCATTGTCGAAGTACGTGGTTACCTCTGGTTATATTTTTGATGTACTTACTCTGTATTCAAGCTTGGTGGAATTGTCCGTCGGTCACATAAACCTGTTCCATTCGTCGAGGCCATGCAACAGCTGCGATTATACGTCGGCCATGAAAATGTTGCCCTAATTCGCATGCCTCTCGCTCCCGCTAGTCACGGCGGGCTGAAGACAAAGCTACTGTCCAGGCTTCGCGCGGACTTGATCTCCTACCTGACCTCATTATGCGCCGTTTTGACATTCAGAACTGCTCGATTCTGCGACAAGAGAATATCTCCGTATCTCCATCAAGCGTGTCGTCGGTGCACATGATGTTACGCCAGTATACCACGTCTTATTATTCCTGCGGCCCCAGGGCTTCGTCAGGTCCCTGCAGAATCGTGAAGCTTACGAAGGGAAACGGCAGAACATGGACATGCACTCGAGCGTTGAGAGAGAAATTGACTCAGCGCGCGTTCCGCTGCGCAGGTCGAGGGTCTTGTCCGACTATTCGCTTATCCTTATTCGCCACCACGAGGTGTGCCGAGCATCGAGAACGATTGGCAAGCGGCCAACGAGTTACTTAGGAACCGGTGTCGTCCAAAGCGGACGATCGAGAGCACGGAAGATAGACGGCCCACTGCTGTAGGAAAACTGGTTTTCATAATTTGTCACAGTATCGTGAGTGGTTCTCGACACCTTCCTTTCCAAACGTCGCTCAACTTGCTGGTGACGCAGGTCTATCGCTATGTGTTTTATCACCCAGTAGCAGATACAGACGCACGATCTGCTCGCGGTTGTCATCGTTCCATCATTCACCAAGTCATGCACTCCGTTGTCCCAAAATCTTACGGCCGCCGGCGGACATCTGGCCTCCCGGACACCCTTTGCGAGATTGAGGGCGAACGCCATTGGCTTGCGCCGCGGGAAGCCGCACGGGGCAAGCGCATCTTCCATATCCCTTCGACGCTCCCTCGCCGACTTGCGTGCAGGCACGCGCCGCGTCAGCGGTCACGACGACATACGCTCACTACTGGTGTTGTAACCATACTCCCCCGACGCGCGGAGAGAGATCCTGGCTCCACAATATCACTGTCCGCGCTGGGCCGGTACCGCGGAGAGTGCGCTGGTCGGCAGTGCGGATATGTCAGAGGCGCTGGCAGAGGGTCAAGCCGTCATTGTAGCGCCGCGGTTCTGGCGCCTCCACCTGACGAAATGTGTTGCCCAAAATCTACTACGGATGTCGAGGGCGACGTCGCCCGCTCTGGCGTGTATATTATTTTTCAGAGGCGTCCCAACTCGACCCAGCCTTTGTACCCGGGACATGTCCCGCTAAATTGCTTCGAGCATGCGTTCATACTTGCCGGAGCGTCCTACACGGCCGTGACCACGCCTGCGCGACAAGGTACGTGCAAAATCATTGCATGTGCTACGAATTATTGAACGGAGAGCGCAGATATGGTTGCTGCTGTCGGAGACCTCACCTCGGGGCCTGTGCTTCCTACGCTCCAGGACGAGATGGTGGCGAGTCGAAGGGACGCCGGGTCCTCAAGGAGAGGCCGCGCATCAACATGAAGGCCGCCGGCATGAAAACTCTCTCGACCCTTCCCAGAGCACGTTCGGGGGTACTTATATCGCCTGGCTGGAGCGATGCAACGTCACACCTGACGCCCGCGAACCGGCGGGCCTATCTCCTAGATGTCTTTGCGGAAACTAAAAGCAGAAACTACGGGCGCATCGCGTGGACGACCCGAGCTCGCGTACGTGACGCAGCGCTATCGCGAGTTGCGCGACTTCTGGCCGCTGCCTCGTCAGCCTCCCCGTCGACGGCGCTGCAGGAAGTCGCATGCCACAGGTGCGCCTCCCAAGTTCCGGGTCTTTCTATACGCGCCTCCTCGTCAACTTGCGCGCGGGCGCGCATCGAGTGTTCGGCCATTGCGACATAGGATCGCCGGCGCCGTCTGCTCTGCCATGGTTGGGTCGACGCGCGAAAGTTCGCGGCTGCGCCGAGGGGTGCGCGTTCTGGTCCAGCCCTCACGCCGACCTGGCCGCCTGTATGCGCCCCTGCGCTATTCACAAGACGACGCACACCCTCGGCGACCAATTGGAAGGCCTGTTCGCGTGTGTTCAAGCTCGTGGGCCTCCGGGAGGAGTCCTGCTCGACGAACGTCATGGTCTGCTCGGGGAGGCGCGTACATCGAAAGCGGTCGTGGATAGTCAACTTTGCACTTGTGTCGGCCGTGCACGGACGGCCGGCTGGGACATGGGCGCAGGTTCTGGTGGGCTCGCGACGGCATGTTTGCGATCGTAGAGGTGTTGGCAGACGTGCTGGAGGACAAGGAAGGCCGATGGGTTCCTTGACATGGTTTGAGTCGCTGACGATATGATAGGCATTGGCTTACGGTCTCTAGATTTATTCTATGCCCTGCATGTACCTGATTGCACATTGCTCAATACGATATGATACGACTGCTTCGCCATCTGCGCCCTATTGGCGCCTTGATGAGTGTGCTGCTCGGCGCGACGGCTCATGGGTCGAGCGGCGAGCACGCTGGTCGGTAGCCTGTCGCGGCTGCTTGCAGATTGAAAAAGTAAGCAAGTTGAAGTCATCGTCGGTGGGTCATTCAACACCTTTCTCGGCCATACACACAACCCCGGCTTCTTGGCCGACGCAGTAATCGAGACATCGGCAGACGAGTCAGAGGCAGGAAAGAGGGTGCGATGGGAGTTTTCATACAGCTTGGACTCTGTAGTCACTATGATAGACCCCGTTATGCGATCTGTAGGCTCATAAATTGTGATATACACTCTCGCTCCGCATAACTAAATACATTACGGCTCGTTCTGCGTCTTCTGGCTCTTTCTCGCCCTGTTAAATGCCTCCATGTACTTGTCGACATGCCCGCTCCTGGCCAGGGCATCCTCACTTGACAAGTAAACCACCGTCGTCTCTTCACTCCCTAATCCTAGCTCCTTGAGTCTCCTACCCTCGCGTCTGTCCATAAGAATGACACCCCCCTTGATCACCTCAAGTGCTTTCTCGTCTTGCAAGTCCCGCTCTCCGACCACCTCAACTGCAACCCAGGCCGCTATGTCCGATAACAACCCGGCAGAAGTGAGAAAGCGATAGGGAACATGTGGAACAAGACATCCATGTGTTCTGGTAGCAGAGACTTGCGCAGTAATAGGATCAGCGCGGTCGTAGAAGTGGAGTTGGAGCGTCTGTGGTCCGGTGCCTTGGTGTGTGTCATCGGGTGGGGATACAATGCAGCACGGCTCGGTAGCAGGTGGGGTATGCCAATACTGCCCTGGCTCATTGGTGTGAACGTCCAGAGGATCCACCAGCTCCAAATCTGGCGCAAATAACTCTAGCGTCGGTAGCGACGTCAGTCCGAGGAACGTGGTCCATGAGACGAAGAGTCCAAACGGCACGTCAGACTCGTATTGGCAGACAAGGGATGCCCGCCACCATGCATCCATGTGCTTGATGAGCAATAACCATGCAGACTCTGAGGAAGCCGACTGATCATAGAGCGGCAGCGTCTTGCACTCCAGGAAATAAGCGAGACTGGCGATCCTGTCGAGTTCAGTGGTGCAATGGTGATCCCTGATGGCTCGAATGGCATCGAATCTCCGCAGACATCGCAAGACGTCCTGCAGCCGAGAAAAGAACCCCGGGCTATCGACGTGAGGCGTCACAGTGAGTCCACCGGGTAGCCAGCTCTTCCGCGTCTCCTGCACGGTCCACACGCGACTGAACCAGTGCCGATCCGACTCGACAACTGCTGGCGACAGATCGAATGGCAACCCCAAGCCGTTGAAATACGTGATGCACCGTCTCTCATCTGGCTCGGCTTGGTAGATGTGACCGATGGTGGGTACATCGAGCTCCCATTCCTCGAGCCGAGCTCTGTCGTCGTCCTTGATGCCCTCCTGCCATAAACAGAGGACGTCTAGCCAAACATATTCGGCGCCCATGTTGAGCAGCTCGATGCGGATGTGGTCGAGTGATATGCCGTGCGGAATCGGGACGCGCCATTGGCGTCCGTTAATCACGGTCATGACATACTCGCGGTCTTGTTCGCGGACCCAGCTGTGCGACACCGTCCACAGGTCATCGGGCAAACACCCCTCGCCCTCGCCATTTGCCCAAGGCATGACATGGAATGGGAGGACTCGGTTGCTGTACAGGTTCCACACACGTCGAGGAGGGATTCGCGAGTTCTGGATGGAATGGCCGCGAATGGCGTTGTCCCGCCTTCGTTGGACCTCATCACGACGCTTCTTCATCCTGGCAAGTGCCGCGGCAGGGTCTTCAGGCCTCCGCCAGCCCGACCACTCCGAGCGCAGTGTTCCGTACACCTCCCCGAAATCGTGTGAACCGCCGATCGCGTACTCCAAGCAGTCACGAACACCAGGGGTGTCGAGCGTACACAACATTCCAAGGACACTGTTGAGTTTGGCGAGCAGATCGTCGATTGGCAGGAGGTCGCAAGGGATGTCAGCGAGTGTATTGGGTATTGCACCTTGGCCAATGTGTACGCACTGGAGAGGGACGGTGGAAGGAGTGAGAGGAGTGAGAGTGTAGGTCTCGCCTGTGACTGGGTGCTCGGGCTGGAAAAGGTTGTTGGCAGGCATGATGCCAGGGGCGGCCATCCGTATCTTGCCCCAGATGGCGTCCCGGGCACGTTCCCCGCTGAGATCGCTGAGCTCTGTGGGCTGCGGATTCATGAAATAAGGGATTGCCACCAGCGGAGTGGTGCATGTCCACGGAAAATAGTCGCATGAGAAACACACAGATGTTCCCGATAACTCAAAGAAGACTCTTGACTGCACAAGCGATTTGTGTTCTGTAGCAGCCTGAATGAGAATCAAGTCTTGGCATCAGTGGACGAACATAGGAAATATTCCAGACTGAGGTTGAGAGACTTACGCCGTCAGAGGAGCTATCATGTTCCGAGCCGAAGCTAGTACCTTCCAAGCCGGAGTATGGCAGGACAAGAAAATTCCCGTATGTGGCGAACTGCTGACGCCTAGCTTCGTGCTCGGCGACTCCAGACCCGGAGTGTGATGTGTAAGGTAAAAAGGGATGTCCAAGGTCGCGCTTGAGATGCACGTCTAGGTCCGACATGCACCACGAGCACAGGGCGAAGTCCGGACATGAAAGACACTTGTGCCAGCCCGACGAGGTCTTGACGCCACAACCTCGACAGCGCGGTGCATCCAATGTAGCGTAGACAGTCTCAAAGGCGCCAACATCCCACGGGTACTCGACAGGGAAAACCCGATGTCTGATTCCGTGCTCTGAGCGCCGTTGGAGAGAGGAGATGTAGAGCTGACAGAGCAAAAAGTCGGGGCATTCGAGACACTGATGTCGGATACGAAAGATGCGACGTCGGCAGCCGCCGCACTTGGTCTGGCTCACAATGTCGTCGTGCTCCAAGGATGGACGTGGTTCAGACTCGAGCCGTGCCGCAGACGACTCTAGCGGCGTGAATTTATGTAGAGGGTTGTGGGACATGCGGACATGCGGATCGCACACGCAAGCCGCAAGCGGTACAAAGTCCATAGTCGCCACCACAGTCGACGCAGCAGTGTTCGACGGGGAGTCTACTACATTTGCTACATACTACGTCGAAACGTCGACCGGTCCCATCGTAGGGGGCGCATCCTGTCACATCTCTCCGGGGATGGAGCAGGCCATGGTCTCCCGTGAAAGTTGGAGGAGTTTGAGCGTTGTCTCGCGCGGCAAGGAATTTCGCTTCTTCTTCTGGGCTTCGGATGGGAAAGAACTCGTGAGAGATATGGTGTGCGGAACGCCTCTTGATGTTGTTGAAGCATGCAGAGCAGAAATCAAAGTCGTCGCATGAGAAGCACTTGTAACGTACACCGATGACCGGCCGTCGACGGCAGCCATCACATCCGACACTGGGATGAATGTTATGCAGCACTATCGATAAATCACGAAATGGGCGATGGTCCCAAGGATACTCGATCGGAAAGAGCGTGTGGGTGTGTTCATGTTGAGAACGGAGCGACACGACGGATATGCAGTCTTGGCACAGGTCGAACCCGATGCATTCCACACACTTGTGACGTACGCCGAAGATTGGATTTCCGCACCCACAGCACACCACCCCCCGATGTTCTACACCTGGGGGAGCCTAAGGTAAATGTTGTGAGTCTGTGTAAGACGAATGTCCAACGATGTCTCTCACCGAGCGCGGGCCGCTAGGCTTCACCAGCTGCAGGTCGTGGTCGCTGGTACTTGCTGGCTGCGGATCTACGGACTGCGGGCTGATAGGGTACGGGTCGCCGGAGTGTGGGTCGCTGGAGTGTGGGTCGCTGGGTTGTGGGTCTCTGGGTTGTGGATCACTGGGCTGTGGGTCACTTGGGTGTGGGTCGCTAGATCTTGCTGGCGGTAGGTCGCTAAAATGCGCGTTGCTGGGCTGTGAGTCGCTTGGCCTTGCCGACTGCAGATCGCCCACTAGCTGCGGCTCACTAGGTCCCGCAGCCGGCAGGTCGCCCAGTCGCGGGTCGTTGTCCTGCGGATCGTTGTGTTGTGGGTCGTCGAGCTGCGGATCGCTGGGGCTCGCCGGCTGCCCATCGCAAATAGCATCTCTCCTCTCCCAATTAGATCTCAGATGCACAATCTCTGCAAAAGCCTGCCATAATTCATGAGCATTGTAATTGCATTGGGCCCAGATGACAAACCTGATTGATCACCGCGAGGCTTAACAAGCTTGAAGTAGCAACGACCATCAGTGCGACCGCATAGTCCGCCAACGACATACTTGCCCGTACACCAGTGTCCTGCACCAGAACCTACACATTCTCGTCAGCAAGGCTGAGCACGACATGGGTACTGCAATTTACGATGTCGTTGCACCGGATGAATGGCTTGCTCCAAGCAATGCAGCGTTCTCCAGCTGCCGAACGGATGTGCTTACAGCTAGACGGTATCTCGTCCAAGTGTCATGAATATTACACATTCCGGATGGTTCTCCCGGATTCCATGGTATTCTCTTACTTTCTATACACCTCCGTATATTCGTAGGATATTCTAGATATTCAGTCTGACATGTATATAAGGAGCTCATACTGCTCAATAACAAGCCAGACTCGAGCTGGTCTTTCCTCACTCACATTCCTCTCGTCTGTCTCCTCAGCACTGTCGTAGCTCAGTCCAGTTGGATTGTTAGTTGCTGACATTAGTTCGAGTCTCCACCAACTACCCTACAACGATCCTCGCCACTCCCACTCCAACCATCACACATCTCCACACGACGATCTACCCTATACGCACATCCGACTCTCACCCTAGCTCCTAACCCTACCGAATTCTATCGCATCAAGACCCGGACCCCTGGAACCTTTCTCCGTGCACTTGCGCGTCTTTTACCACATCACACACCCCGAAGCCACCTCTGTAATCACCAGCCCTTAGGTGGCTGGACAGAGCTCCATCCAATTAGAATCGTACACCGCCCTACCATAGGTGGTGTTAAACGCTTTGCGCAGTGCAAGCAGATATTCCTGAGTACGACGTGGCAACCAGCTGAGGCTGGGCGTCGGAAAAGAGATAGCAGTTAGATCGACGATCCCTGTCAGGGCGTCGGACCGAAGAGACACAATCGCTCTTTGGGCTGCTATACTATTTCTAGAACTGTATTAAGAATAGTGTTTCGGTTCTTTTTCGGAAAATTCTTATCTTTGGCGAACTCTACCCCCGATCTGGTCGTTATGACACGATTAGTCCCGGGGCTTGCTGCAACCGGCTTCACGGACCCGACACCCTATGACCACGCCCTCCTGCTATTGTAGAGGACATACACATCGAGAGCTAGAAGGGAGATCCGTCTACTTACACGGTGACAACTTACGGTACTGTGCGCAACAACCCTGCCCGCATTTTCCAGATAATAGCAATCGTTGTCCTTGGTGTAGAGAAGGACTACGCGGAGAGCCACTATCGAGAGTTGCCACAGGAGCACCCTCAGAATCTATCACAGTACCACAACCCACAGCATCCGGTTCAGAACCCAGAACCAGACGAGACACTCTCGAATCCGTCACTGATCACCTCCGCTCAATCACCCTCGGAGAATCCGAAGCACCACCAGAGGGCCCACCAAACCCAGTGGAAGAAGCAGTAGAAGATTCCGAAGCTTCGAACCCACCTTCTCGCCGTTCTCCCACTCCACCCTTGTCTCCATCTGATCCCGGTGCGATGGCCAAGAACCAAGACAATGCCGCGCTCATAAATGATAGCGCGATGAAGCCCGATGCCTTCGATGGCACAAAGTCCAAGTATATCGCTTGGAAGACACAGATGAAGCTCTATGTAGTAACGCAAAGGAAGCGACTGCCTGAGCAATTTGACAGGGTCTTAATGATCTTGTCCTACATGAAAGGAGGTCATGCTGGCGAATACGTCGCCACATACATGAAGAAATATGACACCGATGAAGACACGGTGATCCAGACCACGGCGGAACTATGGACGGATCTGGATAGACATTTCCTAATCGACGAGCAGGCCGAAGCCTACGACCGTTTGCAAGCAATGCAGATGGGAGCGCTATCGGCACAAGAGTTCTTCTCGAAGTTTGAATTGTGCGCCTTCCAGGCGAATATTCACGACTTCGAAGCGCACTTCCAGGAACTCAAGTCGCTTCTAGAAAAAGCGCTCCGGGCCGACATCATTCGACTTCTGTACAATTCATCGGAAAAACTCCCCGCCACATATGCACTCTACAAGCAACGGGTCGCGCGCATCGACCTGAATCAGCAACAGTATCGCCGAAGAAACCCTCAGTCCCAACAACAGGAACAGTTTCAACCAAGGCAGCAGCAGGCGCAAAACCCACCGCGAACGCAAACGAATGCATCCGCACCAGCAACTGTTACCGCGCCAGTTCAAACACGGCGCAACGGAACCGGTGTCACATTCGGCGGCAGGGGACAACCGATGGATCTAGATCAAGCGCGACGCCAGGGTCTTTGTTTCCGATGTGGTCAACAGGGCCACATATCACAAAATTGCCCTAATCGGCAACAAGCTCAACAAGTACGAGCCGCGGAAACCCCGGCAGTTCCCACCACCAATACGTTCGCACCACTCAACGAAGCTCTTGCCGCGACGGCAGAACCGTTCGACTGGAAGAAGGCAATTCACGAAGAAATTCGTGCGGCCATGAAGGGTTTTGCAAGCAGTCAGCTGGGTGCGTAGCCGAGTTGACCGAACGTAATTTCACGAACTATCTGTGTTTCCGGTTTGGTGTACCTATGTATATACCAGAAAAAGGGGCGTCCGCAGAGCGGCGCGGAGAGGCACAACCCTCTTGCTTAATTTCCCCGAAATTATTACCTACACCAGAATATCAGACTGAACCTACGCAGTGGCAGCGCCACACACCCTGGACGGCGGCTTGGATTCGCCAATGGATAGTCAGCAAAGAAACTGCAGCACTCAGACTGTTGACTGAATGGGTACACTCAAAGAAGAGTGTTGACGCCTCAGAAGCCTGTATGAACCAAATCAGGCAGATGAAAGAAAAAGAAGCTATAGACTTCTTGAATGAACTACGAAAGCAACCTCGTTTTATCCGAGGAAGGAAGGGGACTCAAATGGACGTTCCAATGATCATCACCACTCTAGACACGCAGCAGCGCTTATCAGTCAAAGCGTTATTGGACACAGGATGCACTGGATCTTCTATTGATGCGCAGTTTGTCCGCGATAACAACATCGCCACAAAGAAACTGCCATCACCGATCTCTGTCTATAACGCGGACGGCACGCATAATGCTGGCGGGGCGATCACCGACTTTGTCAAATTAAGGGTGGAAATTCAGGATCATGTTGAGCGACTTCTGTTCGCTGTTACAAATCTAGGAAAGACTCCAATCTTCCTTGGATACGAGTGGTTACAGATCCATAACCCATCTATCGATTGGCAAGAACAAGTCATTCAGTTTGATCGGTGCCCGATTACCTGCAAATATGCTACCCGATTAATTGATATTGTCGCCGATCAGGAGGAGCCCAGCGATCCAGAGGCTCGCCTAGAAGAAGGGGATAGAATCTTTATTCTTGACCACGAAACCTACTTTGCTACGGGAGCAGCGCACATTCGCACTACGGCCACTGATCTAGCCATTAAGAAAAGTCTGAAACACGAGGCTAAGACGTTTGAAAACACCGTCCCAAGTCACTATCACGACTACTCCAATGTGTTCAGCAAAGAAGACTTTGATTCCTTATCGCAAAGACGACCCTGGGACCACGCGATAGAACTCACACCAGGTGCACAACCGATCAGTTGCAAAGTTTATCCTATCTCTGTAAACGAACAGAAAGAACTTGATGAATTCATAGAAGAGAACCTTCGAACCGGGAGAATCAGACCATCAAAATCCCTGTGGGCTTCTCCATTTTTCTTTGTCAAGAAAAAAGACGGACGACTTCGGCCTGTACAAGACTATCAGAAGCTGAATGAGCTTACAATCAAGAACCGCTACCCACTTCCTTTGATACAAGAACTAGTGGACAAGCTAAAGCAGGCACGGTACTTTACGAAATTAGACGTTCGATGGGGATACAACAACATCCGCATCAAAGAAGGAGATGAAGAGAAGGCGGCGTTCCTAACGAATCGAGGACTATTCGAACCCCTTGTTATGTTCTTCGGCCTTACCAATTCTCCGGCTACATTCCAAACCATGATGAATGATATATTTCGAGATCTCATCAGTCAAGGACACGTGGTAGTCTATTTAGACAACATCATGATCTTCACTCAAGATTTAAAAGAACATCGTCGGATCACGCAGCAAGTTCTTCAAATCCTGAGAGAACACAAACTTTATCTGAAACCAGAAAAGTGCGAGTTCGAGAAAGAAGAGATAGAATACCTCGGAATGATAGTAGGAAAAGGAGTTGTTCGCATGGACCCAGTCAAGATAGAAGGAGTCGTCAATTGGCCTCGGCCCGAGTGCAAACGAGACATCCAAGCATTCCTCGGATTCACCAACTTCTACCAAAGATTTATCCGAGACTATGGCAAGATAGCAAAGCCACTTAGTTCATTAACAGGAAATGCTACCTTCGAATGGACTATCAAACAAGAAGTAGCGTTCACAAGCCTGAAAGATGCACTCTGTTCTACACCAGTATTGGCCATACCCAATGACGACGACCCCTATCACGTAGAATGTGACGCCTCGGACTTTGCCGTAGGAGCTGAGTTAGCCCAGAAGCAAGATGGCAAATGGAAACCCGTCGCCTATCTATCCAAAGCTATGACAGCAGCCAAAAGAAATTGCGAGATTTACGATGAGGAACTTCTCGCAATCATGACTAGCCTTGATGAGTGGCGTCAGTATCTCATGGGCGCCATACATCCGTTTGAAATATAGACGGATCACAAGAATCTAGAATACTTCCGGAAGCCACAGAAGCTCAATCGACGACAGGCCCGATGGGTAACCGAGTTGGCTGAATATCAATACTCGTTGCATCACAAACCCGGTAAATCGAACGGCAAAGCTGACAGACTATCTCGCCAAAAGAGACACAATGCAGGAAAAGAGGACAAGTCGGATATCGTGTTGCTAAAACCAGAACATTTTCATGCCCTGATTCGTAGTACTGTATTTAGTTTAGAAGGAATCGACCAGGACTGGGTCGCAAAAATTAAAAAACACAAAAAGAACCGAGATTTGCTAGTTACCGTAGCCTTACAGAACAAGGACAAAGATTGGAACGAAGATAGCACCGAACTCGTGACGTGGAAGAATCGTATCTATGTACCAGTAAATAGGAAACTCCGAGAACAGATCATTATTCATCATCACGATACCCCATTGGCAGGACACCCTGGTCAATACAAAACACACGAAATGGTCACGCGTAACTACTGGTGGCCTAGAATTTGAGAAGACATCCGAAAATACGTTGCTGGATGCGAAAAATGCCAGAAGACCAAGGTGCACACAACACGACCTACCGGACTTCTCTTCCCCAACGAAATTCCTACGCGACCCTGGGAAGTAATCTCGGTAGACAAGATAGGAGTACTACCCAAGTCCTTTGGGTATAACGCTATTCTTGTAGTCGTCTGCATGTATTCCAAGCAGATAATAGCGATACCAAGTAACATTGAACTCAATGCCGAAGGATGGGGAAAAGCACTTCGCAATCATGTAGTAGCACATCATGGACTTCCCCGGAAGATCATCAGTGATAGGGGCACCGAATTCAAGAACAAGTTCATCTCCGAACTGTACCGATCACTTGGAATCGAAGCCAATCCCTCCACCGCGTATCACCCCCAGACTGATGGACAAACGGAACGTATTAATCGCGAAATAGAACAATACCTCCGATTATTCATTAACTATCGACAAGCCAATTGGGCCAAATGGCTACCACTAGCGGCCTTTTTGTACAACAACAAAGTTCATTTGTCCACAGGGTATACCCCCTTCTTTGTCAATAAAGGGTACCACCCTTATGAAGGAACCCAACCGGTACGAGAGGGACTAAGTGAAAACGTCCAACAATTTGTCGATAGAATGGATCGAGTACGCAAAGATACTAGTGCAGCTATCAGTCTAGCGCAGGAGTCTATGAAGCGCTTCTACGACCGAAAGAGAAAGAGCGGACCGGAATACAAAGTTGGGGATAAAGTTTGGCTAGAAGGAATAAACATCCAAACCGACAGGCCAATGAAGAAGCTCGACGATAAGCAATATGGACCCTTCAAGGTCAAACGCAAAGTCGGCGCTTCTGCCTATGAATTGGAACTCCCACGTCAATGGAAACAACACCCCGTTTTCAATGAAAGCCTTCTCAGTCCCTTCAAAGAACCCACGTATCCCTCTCAGCGGCATGAACTGGTAGTCCCTGACCTCGTAAATGGCGAGGAAGAATGGGAAGTCAAAGAAATCCTTGACTCCCGTCGTGACCGAAATGGAAATCTAGAGTATCAGGTGCTCTGAAAGAACAGCCCCCACGGCAATCGCCGTTCCTGGGAATCACGAGCAAACTTGACTAATTGTCAGGAACTCTTTCAAGAATTCCATGCTAGATGTCCCGACAAACCCGCGCCTATGACGATTCGAATTCCCCCTCTATTAACACGACCTGTTCACATACTCATGCGCGATACCACTCTTTTGGTACAACGGATGGGTGGAATTCTCCCGAAGCAAGGATCTGAAGAGTTGGCTGGGCTTGATCTCTACTCGGCTGAAAGCACTAAGATACCGGCACGGGATCGCAAGATTGTCGGCACCGGCATAGCAATCCGTGCTCCTCACGGAACTTATGCACGAATTGCACCGCAAAGTGGGTTAGCAGTCAAAGGAATAGATGTCGGCGCTGGGGTGGTAGACCGAGATTACACCGGAGAAGTGTGTGTAGTGTTGATCAACTCCACCAATCAACCATTTCAGGTACACGCCGGCGATCGAATCGCACAAGTCATTTTGGAACGCATTGCGTCATGCGATATCGAGGAGGTGTCAAGTTTAATAGAGACTCAACGAGGATCAGGAGGTTTTGGATCGACGGGTAAATAATCGTGAGGACACGATTCTAGACGGGGGGGTAATGTCATGAATATTACACATTCTGGATGGTTCTCCCGGATTCCATGGTATTCTCTTACTTTCTATACACCTCCGTATATTCGTAGGATATTCTAGATATTCAGTCTGACATGTATATAAGGAGCTCATACTGCTCAATAACAAGCCAGACTCGAGCTGGTCTTTCCTCACTCACATTCCTCTCGTCTGTCTCCTCAGCACTGTCGTAGCTCAGTCCAGTTGGATTGTTAGTTGCTGACACCAAGTATTTATCGAAGACGGATAATGTACGGGTATGGATATGTTGTCCAAGAGGTCTCCGGAGATGTAGCTTGGTCTAAGGCAGAGTGACGAGCAAGCACCGTTCAAGGAGGAGGTCGGCCATCTGCCTCGTGCGCAATTTCCAGTATAGCCCGTTCAGGCCGTGCCCACACGAGGTTATAATACACGTGTGGGAAGCAGACGCGGCCGCTACTATTTCAGAAATAGAGTAGGCATCAGCACTGGAGACGCAGACTGAATACTTGACGGTGGTTACAACTAAATCCCACAGAGAACGTTGTTCGTAAGCTGCCAGCTGCAGTGACAGGCAGGCGGAAGTACGTTAAAGCCATCGTCATTGACAAACTTGAAGCGCCGTACTGACCCGTGTCATTCATTCCGTATTCTATTGTCTGCAACGTCTACACCATGGACGCTGCGCACGAGCCGTTAGATCTATGTCCAAAGTCGAAGCCCGTGAGCCTGCCGTCAAGCGCAGCGCAACGGCGCTCGCGGACAGAGAGCTTGGCGCGCTGCGCTTCAGCGCCAAGAAGATGCCCGAGGGACGCCCGAGGAAGATTCAAAGTGGCTGCTGCTCGGTGCCAGTGTTAAAGAGACAGCGCCTGTGATCACTGTCATTATTGGTGATGTAGTAGGTCTACTAAACGTAATCTACGGGAGCCCAGGGGGGTAGTCTGGCGGGAAGTGTAAGTAACGGATCTGAATGACGAATAAGTATCCTGCCACGTACAATCATTGGGCTCGCTACATACCAAACCCCAGGACGCTAACAATATTGTCTGAGAATTAAACATGTTCGTCAATCGCTTGCTTCCACACAACATCACTGGCACGTACGTTGCGGTTATATCTGAGCCTACGCCTTGCAAAGACAGCCCAAAGCGCGGAAGCCATAGCTGCAATAGCCCGCTGTCAGCAACCTACAATCCAACTGGACTGGGCTACGACGAAGCTGAGGAGACAGACGAGAGGAAGATAGGTGAGGAAAGACCAGCTTGAGTCTGGCTTGTTATTGAGCAGTACAAGCTCCTTATATACATGTCAGACTGAATATCTAGAATATCCTACGAATATACGGAGGTGTATAGAAAGTGAAAGAATACCATGGAATCCGGGAGAACCATCCGGAATGTGTAATATTCATGACACCCGCTCCACGTCTTTTTACAATGTCAAAAGACAGCATACAAACTGCCAGCAAGCCCCGGCCTATTTAATTCCTTCTAGATCAGGACCAGACATCTCGTACTCTGAAGCGGGTGACAAGCCTGCATTCGAGAGTCGTTTACCCAATTGGCAATTTCTCACCACGAGAAAACGCATGTTCCCGCAGTCAAGTCGGCTGGAGCACTGCAAGTGCTGGCAGACAAGAGCGCATCGTGACACGCACAGAGGGCACCTGAGCTTCGCGTCAACGTTGAGAGATCAGTGTGAAAGCAAGGCGGACTGACCTCGAGCCGAGCCACCAGAGGTATATCATCAATCGCTCAGTATTGTTTGCAGCGCTTGCGAAATTGTGGAAGAGAGACATAATATATGCAATTCGCCAGTAATAGAGTGCAGCTCCAAGTGCAATTAATATGGCAAACTCTTACAAGCCTATGAGAGGGATCCGCTGTTCTCAGGAGTAGCTTGGTGCCAAGCAAGCGGATACTGGAGACGTCGGTCCAGGCGCCGTTGGTGTTCGTCAGGACCTCACCCAGGACATAGCTCGGTCGCAATTGCTTGCAGCCTTACCGACTTAGCCAGGGTAGACTGCGGAGTCTTATCAACCGTCGTTTCGTGCTCACAACAGACGCACACTCACCGCTAGAGTTCTGCGGAGCGAAGGCGATTTGCTGGCAGAGGTATGTCGTACATGAGTCGGTATTTCTGCTGCCGGTACCGGTGTCGAACGCCCGCCAGACGTTGGTATGCAGGTATATTGCAAGTGGGCCGAAGGCGTCGTTGATGTTCGTCACGCAGTCTGCGTGGTTATCACTGTTTCCTCCATCAGCGTCCATCCAGAGCAAGTATAGCATAGAGCATACAAATTGTCCGAGTCGAGGTACTTGTAGACGTCGAAGATGAGATTGGCAAAGATGCCGATGGGGTTCGTGACGTTGGCGAAAGCAGCCGCGGAGCCATTAGAGATGAAGGTCTTGGCGAACGTGTAGTCGCTGCCTGGGAGGATCAGCTGCGTCGTCGCGCCTGCCTGACGGATGGCGCTTACAGCGACCTGTACAGACCCCGCTTGGAGGTCTATGCCGGGTATGTCATGGGCTAAGTTTATGTGAACGGAAAGTAAGCACCCAAGTCATGCTGAAAGATGTTGAAAGTGCTTACACTCCGAAGATGATTTGGTCGTCACTGTCGATACCCGCTCGCAATATTGGTCCAGAGCGAAGCGAAGATCTCATTGGTCGGAACACCTTGGCCGTTGATCTGATAGTCGGCATTGGCCTAGAGAGTACAACTAGCACTGCGAAGAGAGTACGAGCTGCCTTGCCATTCTAGCGAGCGTAATTGTGCACGCAGCATGCTCGACGCGTTCGCGGAACTGTTCAAGACGAAGCCCTAGAAGACAGATTTGGATCTACTAATCCGAGTCGAGTCGTTTTAGTCAACAATGGAGACTAAGATCACTACGCGGCCTACAAGCTCTGGAACGCGATGTACTTCAGCAGCAACGCAGAGAGGCAGATGATCTCGTCTGAGGCCCAAAGAGGTAGAAGGCAGAGGTACGACGTCCGATATCCGAGTCACGGGTTCGCCCAGGCCTGGCCAGCCTAGTCCAAGCCGCCACGACGCTGGCGCCATCCCATTTCGCTGAGATATCTGCTGGCCGACGTTGGTCACAAAGTGGGATTACCGAGCGGCGCCGACCAAGGGATTTCCTGCTATGAGCGCGCGAATGCTGTATTAAAGGATCTCCTAGATATGAAAGGGAAAATAGGATTTTGCCATAAAGCGCATAGCTGCAAATATAGGCCGAGGCCAGCCCAAGGATGCAGAATTCAACTACGCCCCCAGTCCGCCTTCCGCTCGCGCTCCGACAACCTAGCTGATCCGTTCGAGATTTTCCCCAACTATACCTACCACTCCCTTCGATGTGCTGCGGAATATTCGAAAATCTCGCACTTTCGGTGTTTGAGAAGTATTCATCGATACATCTTCATGATATGTGTGAAGATCAGCATCGGACACACTCAGGGAACAGACATTGAAATAAATCTTCATATTTGCCTTGAGGCATCGATAGATTGGAGCCAAGCAACACGTTCGTTCAAGAGTGAATGACCCGCAACATTGGGCTTCGACCTGAGAAGTGCTGAGACGCTGGAGCAGAATGGCGCATACAAAACACGGCCTGGCAAGTCCAGACTCTGTGCTGGCCGTAAACACCACAGAATTCAACGAAGATATTGATTCGACGTACTAAATGGATGTCCTGCATCGTCGATAGCATCGTTGCGATGTGCTGGAGCGACAACTCCGTAGATTCAGGGGAAACGGGATATGCGCCCAACAATTCGTCCTCTAGGCGCGACAGCATGCCTGGGGCGAGAAAGGTCAGCAGGCTGGGGTGTCGAACGTTCAAATCCACTCACAATCCAAGAAAGCGACACGTCTTTCCACCAGCTCGACTCTCGAGAGGTTAAATATACTGGAGTTACCAGATGGTTCGTAGGGAAGTCCACGAAGCAGAGTGTGTTGCAAGCCATCGACGGTGAAGACGAGGCTGACGTATTCAGCCTCAAGATCAGGGTGCTGAGCTGCGAAGCAAGTGAACAGGATCTTAAGAAACTGATCTTGCTGCACCTGAACAGGAACAAGTAAGAGGTGGCTCGTAAAATCAAGAATAATGGGGCGTACCGCGTAGGCTGAAGGATCCAGCTTGAGAACAGTTAGTGAGAAGTGAAGGTTTAACCGCCGTAATGTTATCGAGCTGAGCTCCATCTTCTCCCACGTCTGAGAAGCATGAAAAAAGTAGGATCCCCAGTCCTGTTATCAGGTCAGCTTAGACGGACATCCGGGCAAGTGGGGTGCAACTCACGCGACGCCCATTCCGAACCAGCACCTCCGCACAGCCTGTCCAGCATTCCACCCATTTATCGATATCAAGCTGGTCCTGCTGATGTCGAGAGATGAGCCGAGCGCATAAGACTCGGAAGACCGCCCTGCTGATGTGCCCTTCAATGATCTGCGACGACACCATTTAGCGTGAGCGCAGTAGACCATTAGCGCGCCCACCTTGCACAACTCCTCCTCCTTCCTGCTGCGTGCCTCTTCCGCTTCTTTGTAGGCTCCATCGGCGTCGCCCAGCATCGCAAGGATGGCCGGATCGTTGAAATCAAAGTCGTCATCATCATATTCCTGACTTTCTTCTTGGACCACCTGCCGCGCGCGTTGCGGTTGTCGACGCGGGATGACGGCAGATCGGGCTTTGAGGAAGGTTTGCACGAGCATACGCATCTCCAGGGTAGCGTTCGAAATCGAGGCGAGATCGGCGTCCTTAACGAAAATCCGAGTAACCCAAGCTGAAGATAGTGTCGTTAGTACTTGTCCCACGGAATGTCACAACAGGAACACCTACGTCCTTGCAAGAGCTTAGGCTCGGGATACTTCGGCAGCTCCGCTTTACTATCCATCCTCGGCGTTTCGATAATCCTGCGAACACACCACAGAATCATCTGGAGACAGCTGAGAACGTCGCTTTTCGCCCGGCTGGCCGCCTCAGCCTTGTAGAGCACAAGCTCTTCTATGAGCACGTTCGTCATGTCGCCAAGCCACTCCAGCGCACTCGTCAATGGGAGCTCGAAGTGTTGCAGGAGGATCGCAAGATGCATTGCGCCGCGAATGCACGCCTCTCGTGTGCCCTGGTCAGCCTCCTCGTACTTGACATAGCGACACGCTCGTTCGAGACGACTCCTGGCGTTTTCCTCTGTCGGCTCGAGGTAAATCGTAACAGCAACAGCGCTGAGTCTGTTGTAGAGCTTCGACGACTCATGCAGGGAGGCCGGGCAGGACTTGGTGAATGACAACGAGCTAAGCGGAACAGCAAGCTCGACGACCTTCTTGATATGTGGTGAAATGCCGTCATTAGACTCCTTTGCAGCCTGCACGATGAACTTCAGGACAGATGTGAATGCCGAATCGCCCTCCTGATGACTCTGTAACAGTACGAGCTTGTGATCCTCGAGGAAGCTCGGAAAGTTGGCGTCCCTGTCCTGCAGCAGGTTCGCGAACCGCCGCGATTTGAACACGTCGAGCAAGCTCCTGAACATCTTCTCTGCGTCTTCTGAGCCCAGCGTCCACTTCCAGTGTGTGTGCAGCCAGACGCAGCGGGAGAGCAGCACCTGAAAGTACAGGTCTCGCTTCTTGAGCACGCGTTCAGATAGCCCGGCCTCGGCAGCTAGCGGAGCGGACTCTAGAGCGAGCACGACAAGTGCCCACGCATTACTCAATCGCGGAGTCGACGTCGTAGTGCCGTGCAGCGAGAACTGTGATAGCGCCATGCAGCTGTATATGGCTGCCCATATCTCCTCGCCTGTCTTGGCCTCTTTTCGCCTCTTAGTTGCTGAGTCGGGATTCGATTGGTACACCTCCAGCAAGAGCTTCCAAAGGGCCCCAGGACCGCCGCCTTCTTCTACCAGGTGAATCAAGCACACCCACAGCTCAGCGATCCGGCGGATGGGTTGACTGTAATCTAACTGGCGCACGTCTAGGGGCCAAAGAGCACTGAGAGGCTGGTCCAGGTTACACTCCCGCAGATGCTGCGTGAGAAGCTTGATGTGCCGCTTGAGTTCTCCATCCTCGGAGAGTGATTGCGCCTGATCACCCGACGGTCGCATCCGGTACAGCAGCTCGATCGCGGTCCACTGTAGCTGCAGCGAGAGCGCGTTGGCAGGGCTACTATCCGCACGCACCGCGAAATGGTTCTTGATGAGTGCGTATGTGCGCTTTGTCCCTTCTTCCAACGATGTCCGCAGAGTCTCAGAGTCCTCGAAAGGTGCGGACGCGAGAAACCACGCAGACCAGGGACGTATGACCTGCAGGTACCGCTGCCAGTCATCGAAGACGTCCTGGTTAGCAGTTGCGTTCTTGAGCTGGCCGAGCACCTCGGTGATTGCTTCACCCACGACTGTAGCGAACTCGGTAGGTGACATGTTGGTAGATACGCGTGCGTTGCCGACGTAGCCAGGGATCGGCTCCTCGAGCACCGCGGGAGGCGAGAGCAGCGCGTGCAGATACCCGCGCCCAAGGTACGTATGCTCGGCAAAGATGATGCCAGAGGGGAGCTTCGTGGTGTTCAGATCGATCGTTATAGGATCCTTCTTTCGCAGTACTTTTGCCGCCTTTCTCGTACCTCCAACAGCGCCTGCGTCCTGAGACCTCCATACCTCAGGAAGCGCTCTTTGCCTACTGGCCTCAGGCTGACGAGCGACCTTTCGCTTTCGTGGTTCAAATCGTGGCAGCGGGAAATGCATGATCGCCTGCGCGCGGCGCTCACTCTCGGGAACATCCTGCTCGAGCACTGTTGTGTGATACTCGTGCCGCCCGCGTCCGCCTGACACCACGGTGGAGATGTGCGGCGTCATGAAATACACGCGTTCGCGTGTGCGGTGGCGGGATTTCTTCCACGCCGGCTTTGATGAGTCGGATTTGAGCTGGCCAACGGTGAGGTCGAGGGCAGGGGCAGACAATGCGGAGGTGGAGGCTGAAGCTCGAGGGATGATGGTGGAGGCGCTACGACTTAGAGCGGGGGCCGAAGCGACCTCCAGCCGCGGGAAATTGAGCAGCGTTTGGCGTTTCGCCCCATGCCTCCTTGCGCCACCTGTAACAATTCGCGTTGCGGACGACCCACTGGTCCTATTCTGCCGCCCAGCTGGCCGACGAGACCTGCCAGCTTCGGTCTGCAGGTTGAGGACAGACCTATTGCGACTTGCTCCTCCGCGACCGCCTTCGTATTCCCGTCTGCTACCGCCTTCTGCACGAGAACCATGAGTCCTCTTGCGCTTCTTCCCGTCCCCTCTTCCACTACCCGTCCGATTTAGTATGTAGTCCACAAGTGGACCCTCACGGATTTCGCCCCCACGTCCAACTCTTGTCGGCCCGTACACGAACTCAATCTCGTCACCCTCTCCATCATTTGCGCGAGACGCGTCTTCGTCGCTTGATATCGAGATCACGCCCTCACTCAACGTCGGCCGCATGGCATGTGCGCGGGCGGAATGCGAGGCCCACGACGGTTGCGATGCGCTACGTCGAAGCCCGGTGCTGGGACTTGGTGACGAGCTTCGCCGCACCTCGTCCTCGCTCTCGGAGTCGCCACGTATGACGACGTTCTTCGCGCTTCCTATGCGCGCGCGCGCCCTCCCGGGCTGGAGGGGTGCGTCCTCAGAGGTTACACTCTCGCGTCGACGCGTCGCCTTCGTTTGCCCTTGTTCTGACTTCTTCATATTGTCAAGGATCATCGTGCGCGCCCGCGCGGGTGGGTACATCCGATAGAGCTCGCGAAACTCACGTCTATAGCGCTTGTGGAACTGGTCCTCTGGGAGAGCGGAGGGATCCGCATCCTCATCAGAATCGAAGTTACTGGCGGAAGCTGCCTTGTCAGAGTCAGAACGGTCGGCTGCTGACTCCGTTGATGACCCGTGCGGCGATGTGCGCTCGAGGATTCGCACTTCGCTCCTCAGCGAGACTTCCACATCGTCATCGTCTGGCTGACGGCGGTCGCCAACGTCGAGGTCCCAACCATCACGGTCCTGGCTTTGCTGGAAGTCAAAGCCGCCTTGGTCCAAGTTGTCATCATTGACGTCCATGGGTAGACCTCGATCTAGCTCAATCGAGGAGGACGATTCTGGCGGACCGTATGTGTTTGGACTCGGCACCCTGTCGTCGAAGCGAGTATGGCTGTCTAGGTCCCAGGGGTCTGACGACGACTGGCGACTCGGAAAGCGGGCCAGTGCTCGAGCTGGGGAGAAGACTTCGACCTCGCTCGAGTCTGACTGTTGGGAGTGACGTCTGTGCGGGCGGGGTTTGGGAGATTCGGGAATCTACACCCGAGTCAAAGATTCATCTTATGCGCTTAGGTCGAGTAAAACTTACTTGACTTCGCCTCGGAGACGGCCTCTCTGTCCTCAGGAATTTGCTATCTCTCATCGGGAATCGCTTCTTCTTTCTCTTACTCGTTTCCTCGACTTCTCCCTTCTCCTTTCCTTTCCGCTTCTGCGCTTGTAATCCGAGCTCCTCGTCGCTACTGCTCCCGCGATTGTCAAACTCGGATTTTTGGAGGCCGAACCAAATGTCCATCTCGCTCTGCGCCTTGGAAGACGTAGCGACAGGCGGGACTGTTGGCACGACTTGTCTTGGCGGCATCTGCCTTGTCGTCGAAGGCGCGGCTTCCAGTTCAGTTCGACCCCTTGTCCCCGCCTGCACACCCTCTTCGTTGTCGGTTTCACTCCTCGTCCTTCTCCTTCGTGGCCTCTCATCCTCACTAGCCTCGGCTTCCAGCCGCGCCGGATCGACCTCAGCATCACTGCTCTGCTCGTCCCCAACGCCGACAGATCGCTCACGGGAGCGGTGCCTTCGGCGTGCCGGGCTGTGATACCTGACGATGGCGTCAGGGTTCGCGCGCATCTGGCGTTTGTAGATCTGCTGGTCGTATGCATATGGCTGGAGTTGGCGCACGTTCCGTTCGCGTAGTTTGTACCGGCTCGCGTTCTCCGCTTGCTGGAGTTGCGAAATGAGAGAGGCGTTTGCGTCGTCGGCGTCCGTGTGTGGAGATGAAAGTGAAGCGTCGCGAGCGGGGAAACGTGGACGGGTAGGGGAAGGCCGAGGGGACGGAGAAGGAGAAGAGAGTGGGCTAGTGAAAGGTGATAGTTTGCGCGCTGGTGATGATTGCAGTGACATTGATTGGATTGCCGGTCTGGGGCGTGAGGGGCCCGCGATAGGGATATCATCTTCGGGGTCATCCTTGCTGAAAATCGTCGCAGGCTGAGAACATCGTTCGGCCGAAGGGATGAAGGGGTGTTTCAGTAACTCTCCTCCTTGCGTCAAGAGAAGTAGGGGGTCCGGAGATACTGAGCAACGGTGCAGACCAGCGGGCGATGGAACGACATATGACTGAGAGGAAAGTCTTTGGTCATGCTCATCATGAGGAAAGAAATCCTGGTCTTCGTTATCGGAGCAAAACGTATGAGTCGATGGAGCTGCCTCGGGCTGGCATTCTCTATCTAAACTTGAATCAGGGCTACATTTCGACGACTTGTGCTGAGGAGATTTGACACGTTCTCCCAGCAAGAAAGGCTCAAGATCATCACGCTAGACATCAAGCTATAAGTAAAGCTTAGCGGTGTGTATATTGCATGGACTTACCATCGAAGACGCGATCGCGGTGTTAGAAATGTCCAGAGCAACTTGACGCTGTGGTAGAGGACTCCTCGAATACGAGTTTCTGGAAATTTCAGCTAGATTCTCGTCAGAGAATGAGTGCGATAGCTGCCGAATCTCGTCTGGTCAGCAGCTGTAGACTGGTCAGGACGTTCGTACAATGCACCTTCACGCGTTTCCGCGCTGGCCTCGAGACGGCCTCATCGTCCGATCTCGACAGCCTCTCCTTCCCTTTGCCTCTATTCTTCGTCGAACCTAGACTTTCACTTCCCTTCACAAGCCCGAGAACCCTGAGCCGCTCCAGATTCTTCGCAATAGCGAGGCTGGCGTCTCGCCAGTATCGCTCGGGATCTTGTTCAGCTAGATACTCCTCGAGTTCTTCGGAGTCAGAAGGGAGTACAACCTCGTGATCCATTTATTAATCAGGTATAGGTCCTAGGATATCGTGTAGCCTGAGGATGGCAAAGCGTGACGTTCGTGATAGATAGAGATGGTGGTCATTGCCCGTTCGTCACGCTCCCGCGTACGCGGAGTGACGTATATCACGTGATAAGTCACAGTAAACACGGCCGCGCTACCGCGCGAGCTTGGAGCTAGACTATGGCAAGTACGTTGCTCCCGATAACAGTCTGCCACCTGTCCCTGTGACCGTTCGCTCTGCGGCCGCTCAGCAGGCGTCTGAATCAGCTGCATACTACTACGTCATGATAGTAGCCGTTGTGCCTCTGTCCTGCTCAGGAACTTCCGGAGCACGCAGACGCTGATGGACTTCGAAGTCGAGCTAAAGATCTATAAGAGTTGGAAAGCGCCATTACTCCCCCATAATGACAATACCGCGGCCGCCAAGCTGAAGGTCGAACATGGCGTTATGCACGATATGCTCCAGTTCTTCAACGAGCGCCCGTATTGAAAGCTTAAAGCTTTGTCAAGTGCGCAATAGCTACATGATGTACCGAAACGGACATGGCATGAATGCTATCGAGCGGCACCCGCCTTCCGGGCGAGTTGAGTAGACCTTCTCGCAGCGGTCTGTGGAGGTACATCCTCCTTCTGGGTCGCAGTTCTCGCGCCTCCCTGCAAGAATTTCTGCGCTGCACGCTTCGTCGCCGCTTTCTTGGGGGCCGTGTCGCCTTCGGCGGTCTCGCTTTCGTCGTCTTCGCCGCGCTTGCGTTTGCCGGGAGACACCGACAGAGTCTTGCCAGCCCTTCGTGCAGCACGGGTATTGCGAACAGCAGAGGCTTTCGGTGCGGCGGCCTTCCCCGCCGCTGTAGTGGACACCTTGCGCGAACCAGTAGTCTTGCCTTTTGTTGCTGATGAGCCCTTCTCGATAGCGCCCGCTATCTTCTTTCGCAGTGCGGCTTTCTTCGACCCTGTCACCTCTCCCACTTCGGTCGGCTTCGAAGAAGCCGCCTTTCAAGCTGACACAATCTTCCGGGCTGCGGCTGCTTTCGTGGTCGTTGCTGCTTTCTTGGCAGCTGCGGTCTTACGAGTGGTCGTAGCCTTCCGTGTTTTGTTGCTCCTTCCGGTGATGCGGGGAGCTTACTCTTCTTCCTCAACTTCTTCGATAGGGGGCGGAAAAGGAAGAAGGCTATGCGTGCCGTTTAGATTCTTCCTTCGCGTGGACGTCATCACAGGTTGGCCGGCGCACATGTCGAAGAACTTATCGCCTCTGAGATGAGTCAAATCGAGGGCGTTGCCACTCTTGTCGCGGAATACCTCGTCGAAGAGCCAGCAGAGCGCGTCGTGCTTGTCGAGAGGCCTCTCCTCACGGATGAGCCACCCGGACGAACCATTAGACGATACGGACGGAGAACTGCAGCGCGGGTATCTCGTGAACTTCTGAGAGAAGTGCGCCATGACGCTGTTGTCCTTCAGATTGCGCTTCTGCGTATCTTCTGCAGGCTGTGCGTCCTTAGAGAGGCGAGTGGGTTTGGGTGCGACTGCATAGGGTGCAAGATCGTCAAAGTTGACGTGTTTATAGTGGCGGCGTAGAAGTGTCCAGCCCATCCGAAGAAACCGCTCGAGAAGGGTAGGGCCTTCTTCGGCTTCCTCCAACTTGATAGGAGGCTTGCCAAACTTGACGTATAGATGTTTGGTTTGTCCGCCCTTGGAATAGCCGTTCTTGCATCGGATTTCCTCGTAAAAGATGTCGTAGAAACGAGCAGCCAGAGGCTCGTTCTTGGAGTTTGCTAGCCTCTGCTCCTCTACCGTGGAATCCAAGGATGCATCAGACGCAAGTTCGTGGCGATGGAAGCGCATGGCCATCAAGAGGATTATGTAAATGAACGACTCCAGGTCGTCCGCCACCTCTGCGGGCTTTGTGGGATACATCAGTGACAGCGCTGATTTGAAGGGCCACGTTCCCTGGTCGGCGATCAGTCATCTTGAGTGCTCTATCCCATGCCTGAAAGACTCACTGATACACCACCAGGCTGAGAAGCTGGAATTTTATTTTTCAAGTCCTCCTTGAACTTGCATAGGTCCCAATCGTTCAGGAAGCCTTCGTCTGTTTCAGCGTTGATCATGATGTTCGCCGCGCTCACATTGTTATGAAGAATTTTGGCTTTTTCCCAGGCTATCCTATGAGCTGTACGGCTATGAGCCATTGATGCGGATATGACGGTCAGAAGGTAAGCACACCTATAACAGCGTAGCTGACCACTTGAATCAAATCCACGGAGTCCTTGTAGTCTTTTAGCGGGCGGCCGACTTCCTTGGTGACTAATCTGGAGTGTATGCGCTCGATGGGTCTTGACATGTTTAGTCTGTCCTTCATCAGCATTTGACTCGAGGTGCGGTGAGCGTCAATGTCTTCTCCAGCAATCGGGGTGGCGATGAACTGGACCCCGTGTTGGTGCAGCCGCCGGTACGTGTCCAGCTCCTTGCGCTCTCGAGTGATGGCTCGCCACTGATCCTTCAAGAACACCATGCGCTTAGAATCGAGGTCGAACGCAATGAAACCCTTCGTGCACCGGCCGAGGGGAGAGACATGTCCAGCGGCGGCTCTGCCAATAAGTAGCCGGCGCCCACGTTGAGGGGCTTTGGACCCATCGAGTGTGGCGGCAGGACACTCCACCTGGCTAGTGGATCAGAGATTTTTCAACTATGCTCAAGTAGATGCATACCTTTTTCAGCGGGTAAAGAAGCTGATGCCGCAGCATGTCGTCTTTGGTCTTCATGAGGTAGGGATTATCTACCTTATAAGACTTGAGTGCAGCGATATCTTGGGGGGAGGGTGTCTGAACGATCTGGTCGAAGCCTTGATCTTCCGGAGAGAGGCTGAGGATCCGGACCATGATGCATTTGAAGCGATCGAATTGGCGTACAAGGTGAATTGGCTTAGAGACAACACAGCTGGCGGTCAAAGCTGAAGAATCTCGCTCCGATGCACCAATTTAAATGGCGAAACAGTGGGTACGATGCTGCTGCAGCATAACTTCCATCGCATACTTGGCAAACTGCGCTCTTGCTTTCTTCCCTTTCGCACTGTCATGGAGAAGGGGTACCTTGCGAACGTTGCCAGATCGAGTAGCTCTGCACGCGATCTGCATACCGTAGGCACAATCCTCCTCCTTGGACTTTACTTCAACGGGAAGAATCATGTAAGCCCAGGCGCAGCGTGCAACACGTAGATTGTCACTCTGCACCTCGCGTTCATAAGCTTCGCGTGCTAAGTCGTCATCCCCGGGATAGGGACAAAGATCAGAACGAAAGTCGATCTCCGCTGATTCAGGACGATTTGCAACAACCTTGAATCTTGCAGATGTCTCTGCCTCCTCCGCAAAGCCGTTGAAGACGTCGCACTGTGCAACTCTCTATTATACGTTCTCCTAATGAGTGGCGTTATGGTACTTACTATTGGGTCATATCTAGCATCCTCAGTATTGCCCTTGGAATGAGAGATACCAAGCTTGTTGAAGTTGGGCTCTGCATTGTCGTCAGTGCCTTCACTGTCATATTCCTTGTCCTCTGCATCCTTGTCATCAGAATCCTCAACCTCATCCTCCGTGATGGGTTCTCCGGGAATCGAGGCTTCGAATTGTTTGTCGGTAACCTCGACGGTAAACTCGTCCAGCTCTGCAAGAACCTTTTCGTCGTAGTCAGCTGCCTTGTAAGGAGAATCTTCCTTAGAATGAGTGCTGGCTCCAGATCCCAACGTCATCCTGTGGGGAGATCGAGGTTCGCCGTCTTTCAAATAACCGGGAGGAGATTCGAACGGAGTCCCTTCGCGAACAAAGAAGGTGTGGCCACTGGACTCTGCGTTGTGCTCCTGAAGGATAGATGGAATGGTTGAGCCTGGGATGAGAGTCTCATTCTTGTTCGATAAGGTGGCCTCAGCACCTGAAACAAGCAGTTCCGTGACGGCGTCAACAACGGTAGTCGAAGTAGCGGTCCTGCAAGTGGTGGGGTGCCCGATTGGGGGCGCAGTTTCCCTCCTGCTTTGTTCAGAAGGCTGCTTTAGTTGATATAATTTTGAGGCCATGATGGCGGAGGTTGAGAAATATACCTCTGGGGCAACGGCAATATATACAACAGGTTGTCAAGAATGTGGCCACACCTTCAGCTGATTGCCGAGGCAATCAAGGGAGCGGAACAACAGTAAGTAGCCTAGACCAAGCGTCAAAAATGTCTATGTGGTCTATGCACAGGAAAATTTCGACGTCTGAGGTGGTCTCAAATAGAGGGGGCAGGCAAGGTACAAGTAAGTACTGTTCAACACTATCAGTATCGTGAGGTCACTGCGTAGGATGCTAACCTGATAGTGAGCTTGATTCAAAAAAGTAGTAAGCAAATACTCGCCGAAGATGACAGCGCGAGGAGCACTTGCGTTCGTTTTGGAGGTGGCGTGCGGACGGGCAAGCGCTAGAGCGAGAAATATCTAAGCGTCCAGGCGCCTCTAACGTCACGTGCTATCGAATTATATTATTTCCACCATTCCTCTCTTCGCCTCTTGCTCATCGATGTTTGCACCGACGAAAAGCCCCATTCTTTTTACTCCCCTGAAAATCCAACATTACGCCGAAGTGGAAAGATTATTTACTAGTCATCGCTCCTCCTTCCTTTGCGGGATTACGAGCGTGTCTCCCAGTGTATCTACAGGATAAGTTTGCTCCTCATCTACTAAGCTGCGGTGCGGTTGGCGTTTGGGCGAAGAGCCCACTTTTGGCCGGTGTGGCCTTCAAAGACTGACAATTCTGTTACTCGCTCTTTCGAAAGCGGAAACACTGACAGCAAAGTCGCGAACAGCCCGTGCTAAGGCCGATTCTGACACAAAGTAGCACTTCTCCATATCTCCTTGTTATGTATGTATATCTCGCTGTCCGTTGCTCTTGTTGTTCTCACTGGCATGCGGTTGTATTGCCACCTATGAATTCAACGCCACACGACGGGCTTGGACTTTGAATTTAAGGCATCTCCTTTTCAAGTTCGTGCATGAGCAGTACGGATGTGGTCAAGAACAAGTTGGCAATATTGAGAGCTCTGCTCGTACGCACAGAATGGGCCCCTCGCCGATATGTGAGCCTGCCGCGGCGGTTGGAACGACATCAGATATGTCCATGAAGCCTTGGAGCAAACAGCCACGACACCAGCAAAACGACCGAACATCGATCAAATCCAGAGAAGTTATAGTTTAAATTACAATTATGCTGCAGCTGAGAAAACAATTGTGACTCTATGGTATTACTGTTGCAGATGCGGATAAGACGACAGAGAGGGATACAATCCGGTCATAACTTTTCCCGATAAACTCAGCCGAAGTGTCCAGCTCTGTCCGGACCCAGTGGAAGCGACAACTTTAGAGCCAGGCTCTCAAGGCGTGATGACGATCTTGACGGCAGAACGGCTGCTCATCTTGTCGAGGGCCTTCTGGTAGTCCTCAAGCTTGAACGTGTCGGTGATCATGCCCTTGACATTCACCTTGCCGCCATCGAGGTAAGCGACAGCACGAGGGAAGCAGTGGGCTTGCGAGAACGAGCCAATAATCTGAGCACATATGCGTTAGCGAGAGTCCAGTGTTAGATTTAGCCGTCAACGCACCTTGATCTCGTCACCAAATATCTTAGATGGCGGCCAGTGTACGAGAGCCTTGTTCTCGTAAACACCGTAGATCATGAGGGTACCACCACGGCGGACGTAGTTGATAGCATCCTGCGCAAGCTTCTCGACACCAGTAGCCTCGACGACGACGTCGAAGCCATACGGGTTGCTCTTCTTGAGCTCTTCCCACTGTGGGCCAGGGTTCTGCCTGTCGAGCTCGATGTACTCGTCCGCGGCGTTGAGCTGCTTCGCGATGTCCATCTTGATGCCCTTGTTCGCAGCAATAACGACACGGTGAGCGCCGTTCTGTTTGAGCAGCTGAGCAAGGATGAGGCCGGTTGGGCCGGCACCGAGAAGGAGGATTTCGATACCGACCGGCGGATTCAGCTTGTCGAGACCGTGTATGGCGCATGCAGCGGGCTCAAGAAGCGTCGACTCCTCGTCAGTGAGGTTGTAAATCTTGTAGCACTTCTTCTGGTGGCTATGAAAGGTCAGCGATGGCCAAAGCGTGCGGGATCATGTGCCACGTACTATACGATGTATTCTGCAAACCCGCCATCCTGGGTCACACCCCGAGCGTTGAAGTTTTCGCAAAGGACGGCTTCGCCTCGTCGGCAATAGAAGCAGTTATCGCACTGACAGGAGATCGCGTTAGACGCATAACCTTTGGCGGGTGTCACAAGCTTCGAACTCACCGAGATGCCGACGTCTGCTACAATACGGTCGCCAAGCTGGAAGTCCTTCACATTCTTGCCAACTTCGACGACCTTACCGATGGCTTCGTGTCCGGGAATGAGGGGGAATTTGGCAATGAACTCGCCCTCGTGGATGTGCGCATCTGTGCCGCAGACACCACAGCACGTGACCTTGAGGAGAACATCATCGTCACCGCACTTGGGGATAGGAACCTGGCGAATGTCGAAGTTGTAAGGGGAGCTGTAGTAGAGTGCGCGCATGGTTCCTTCCGGCATGTTGGATGCGGGGCTGAGGATGAGAGCGACGGGTAGAGACTAGAGTGGTGGTGAGGGGGAAAGATGTGAGCTCTGGCATGGTGTTGTCCGTTGGATTTTATAGTCTTTCAGAGGCAATTCGAAGTGTCTTCGATCTTCTGTTATCCCTGCAAAAAATCGATGTTGGTGGGTGTGTCGACTGAAAGTATACACTACCCTCTGACATCATCACCCCCAGCACTCGACAAGCGCCCACGGCGCCATTGCTGAACGCCCCGCCTCAATTCAGCTGGAAATTTTCAGAAAATTAAGCAAAACGAAATATAAACTCGATTGCTTGCAAAGAGTCTCCGCTACCGTGGAAGACCATACCGACCCCGTTGCTCCTATTCATCGGGACCGAGGGCGTCCCAACGCTCCGGGCCGGCGCGACATCTTCCGGTGGACGTCGGCTTGCCGAACCGCGATGACACGGGTGCTGGACGAATCCTAACCCCAGATCTAGCCGCACACTCGCCGTCTCCATAACCTTGATACCGGCAGGTTTGTACACAGCCAATTGCCAGGCGAGGACAAGCATGAATTCTTCTTATCGCCCATCGCTCCAACGGCACTTGACCATTCTGGTCTTTACTCGCAGAAACACGCTTCCTAACTCGACTCGCGTCACGACAGAAATAGGGGAGGAGATACTTCACGGTATTGACGCACAACTTAACGCAAGCACTCATGGGATAGTCGTTTGACCAACAGCACACTTCTCGCTTCCCTGGGGCCTAGTATTAATACCCAGATATCGAATTGCTTATTATCCCGCTGCACACTCGAGGGCTTGTACGTAATACATACCGGTCTCATACTTGTGCTACTTCGAGCTCACGACCGCAGTCGTTTAGAGTAAAACATTGATTTTAGGTAGAGTAGGCCATTATCTGACACCGCCAGCAGATTAGATATGAATATGGGAAGTAATTATGGAACACATAACCTCGCTCAGTACGCCAGTGTATTGCTTGCCTGAGGAAACCGCTGCTACTGGCGCCAACGCGGCTGGCGGCGGGGAACTCCGAGCACTTTGTGGCGCTCCCCCGAACGAGGGTAGCGGTTCAACTCAGAGCCACTCCTATCTAACGAGGACCAGTTTGAACTTACCCACATCAAACTCGACGGACAGGTATAAATCTGCTGCCGGCATTTCGCACTTTTCTGTTCACTTTTGCTACACATATAGAATAGACTAGCAGTGCGCTCCGAGTCGCCGGCTCACGAGATGGAGGCACAGCAAGCGACATTCCCTGAGCCACTGACAGTAAATATCTCAGAAGCAACAGACCAATTGACTGCGGGAAGTTCCGTCAAAAACCTTGAGAGCCCGCTTGGCAGTGGTCACAAAACTGCCAATCAGGTCATCGTGCAGATCCGAGTCAAGTTCAAGAGGTCTTGCTAGAAGCCACCCAACCCTCGAGCAGCACACTTGACAGCGACAAGCTGGAAAATCTGCGGTGCAAATTTACAACTTGCTTCACATATTACTATTCTGACCCATATCTACCAGTTCGCCCTGCCGAGTAGCTTTTGCGAGTCCACCGAGATGAATTGAGCCGCCAAAGTCGTCGTCAATTCTTCCGAGTCTGCGTGTCTTTCCATGACTCTCTATCCTGAAAATTTAACCGCGCGGACAATTTGCACAACCAATAGCGTGGTTCAAAGACATTAGGACAGCTCGCTGTGCATGGTGGTGATATCTATCGAAGTGCGACTGGCTGACCATGATGACGCGGCATACAATGTACTACCTCCTGGTACTGGACCTAAGGTTCGCTCCGTTCTCCCGTACTCTCTTTCGTGCAAACAGTCCAGAGCTATTTCTTCTTCTTTTTCACGTGAGCTATTGAGATAGTGCAGCGTCAGCGCCGTACGCACACGCTCGTGCTCTACCCTGTCCGGTGCGCGACTCTTCCGATTCGACCGTGCGGGTTGCGTCATGTCCGTATCAATCCACTTGGATGACCCTTCTTTTGTACGCATTACTATGAGACCCCCACTTGGCCTATCGCGCAAGGTCCTTGGGTTCGACGAGCCTCACGTCGCGAGCGATAATTAGGCTCTCAGCACACACGGCTCCAAGGATGTACATTTCACGCATGATACTGAGGAACCGCCAAAGATATCCCATGTGCAGGGTAGGTACTCTGTAATCTCCACATTTTGTTCAGGCTGTTGATTAACCGCAGGTCAATTGCCCTTCCATCATCTGTCTACTATAGGGAATGGGCAGACAGAGAGACAAATGTACCGATAAGACTGCACCACTCAAATCCTTGACACGGTTCCTGCAAAGGTCCTTTGGAGTTCTGGGGCATCGCTACAAGTGCGTCTGCCAGCATGCACTCGCATAATGCATGTCCGACTCTCGTTTTGCGCTTCTGGACCACACTAGCCCATCGGAGGGTCATGATGCGCTAACTCGCACTGTTCTGTCTTTATTCAGTACGAAAGGAGCCTTATAGATATCACATGATCGATTACATGAAGCATCCTGAGGATGTGTGATTCGATTCAAGATCAGCACAGGAGCCCGCCGCCAGGGACTTAAGTTTGGGGAACCCGAACTTAGGCATCCCGTTCGGGTGGATACGCGTTTGGTGGGAATATGGTCTGAGGCCTGAGCTCTGGGCAATCTGATTATTCTAACAGAAGACTCATCTCGTTAACGCTCCTTCGGGTTGCATTATTTAGCCCGACCTGACAGCTCGACCTAGGCAGGCCGTTATCGGGAGGCAGCGGCGTAATTCCCAAGAAGAGCTGACTGTAGATTATTGGTCAGCGAAGAGTGTAATTTGAGATTGCGTTCCGCAAAAGGCTCTCACATGGCTTACGCATCTGAGGCGTGGTCACAGCAAGCAGCACTGGTTGACAGAATATTCCTTCTCCTTTTCTTATCAATGTGAGCGTCGCGTACGTTGACGGACACAATCAAGATTCTTTTGCGAGAACGGACTCGGACGTCGTGAAATTCCTAGGTCAAATTGACAAATCAGGCAGGCGGAGCGTCAGTGGCAATCGGCAATCTCCGGATATGCCGCGCTGACTTTCTGGCGAAATGAACAACAATAAGTGGCTCGCTCACTTCACCTACGAGTCGGCGAGTGAGACTCACGGAACTGACCGTATCGTATTATTGGTCATTTTCAAGTTGCTTAGCGGTAATTAGTATCAACAAGGCGTTATAAGCCCAGTGCTCACGGACATAGTTAAGATTAATACCCACATATTCAGAGCGCATTCGCTTTGGCCACCTCTACCAGCGTATCAAGGTGTCCGTGTTAGGCTTATTTGGTGATGCGGTCCCTTATTTGTTTTGCAGGTGTGGCCCATCACTGCAACTCGGCCTGTATAAAAGCCCCTCACGTGCAAAGGTATGTTCGTGAACTCATACTCTGCTATGGCCACTGACTTGCCGGCCACATTTGTCCTGCATTCCTCAAGGAAGCTCGATACAGGACAACATCAATCTCTCTGCGTAAATCAGAGATCTCTCCCCTTGGAAGAGCCTCGCGGCCAGGGCCAGCTTCTCGTCGAAGACGCTACAACTAACTATAGCAACCCCCCCGCACCGTCTTTTGAGGGTATTCCCACTGCTGACGCTACTCCCACGGAGTTCAATCCCGACGAAGGCGCTGTCGAGTGCCTTCTCCAGGCCTCCACCTCCGACGACGGAGGTGTACAAGTACTTCGCAACTCGAAAGTCTGCACACGCTTCGCCACTCCTCCGCCCATAGTCCTTGCTGCGCACGTCCAGAACGGCCAAAAGTGCTCGCCCCCGAAAAGAACTATGGCCGCTGAGTATGACGCGTTTTGCAAGGACGATCCTGTTCACAAGGCCGCCGACCACGAGGAGAAGCTGTTAAGCGAGAGTGATGCGGTTACTGTTGAGATCACTGGCGAGGGATTCAAGGAGCTCGTTCCTGGCGTAGACATGGGCGATGAACTGGTGTGTAGTGTAAAGGGCTTCGACACCATCGATTTCTCGCAACTCAGTAACAAGGCGGAAGACATTCGATACGATCCTTTGGTAAGCGCGTCTACTTAACATGCTGATGGATACGTCTCTCACCTATGAGGTATAGTGTGCCGTATTCAACTCTTTTGCAGAAGTCTCCGGCTGCAAGGGGTGTTTCAAGATTACGGCCACACACTGCGAGACGAAAGAAATCGACTTTCGCCCAGATATTGCGCTCTATCCGGATGATGTACCCTTAGCGACGGAAGCATATCTCCGCGAGGTCACGAAAGATAATCCAAACGTCGCTCGGTGTGCCTGGGCGTGGATGATAATGGCTCTTGAAGTCAAATGCAAGGACGAAGATGCAGGCTACGGCTTCGAGGTTGCAATCACGGACGCCCACTCCCGAGCACGGATTCCGCTCTTTCGAAACACCCCCAGGGGTCGTCAATCGCGAGCTCAGTTCGTCAAATACGCATGCGAGATTATGCAACGACAACATCGCACTCACGTGTACTCCATATATATAACCTCCTCAGCCGTCCGCTTCTTTCGTTTCGATCGGGCAGGCTGTATCGTCTCAGCTCCCATAGATCTCCGCTCTCAGTTCGCCCTCTTTCGTGACATCACATATCGACTCCTCAACCTCTCGTCTAAAGATCAGGGCTTCGACGACACCGTCAGCCTGGCGTCCCCTGATCTCCTTCGAACCCTCCGCGCATGTCGCCCCAAGGGCAAGCCTTATCTGGAGCAACTCTATCACGACCATCTAACTCCGAACAAACATTTGTATCCTATCTACCAGGTTCGCGTCAGATTTCATGTTCACATTATTCCGTTTTCATCTGATTTCGCACGACAGGTAACATGTCCAGTCGTCTCCATCGGCGACGCTGCACAGATCGCGCCTGTTGACCATGCTGGGAATCCACTCCCTCCAGAGCAGAGGACGTACTTGATTGGCAAGCCTGTCACCACGCGTTCGTCGCCTACCGGTCGGTGCACTCGGGGCTACATGGCGTTTGAAGTTGAAATGCGCCGCATGGTTTTCCTGAAGGATCAATGGCGAGCCGCGCCTCGCAGACCCGAACTGGACGTGTACAGACGTCTACATAGCCGCATTCAGGATGAAAGCTCTCGCAAGTATATTGCCACTCCCATCGCCGGCGGAGATATCGATGGCCAGCGCACAGACAGTCAGGACTTCATGAACCATCTGGATAGCCGTCTTAGGCCCGTTGAACGTGTTCATACTCGCCTCATTACGAAGGAGATTGGTCGGCCGCTGGAGACTTATCACGGCTCCTACGAGCTAATCAAATTCGTGAGACATGCTTTCACAGGTATGCACCGCTACTGCCTCTCTCTCTCGGCCGGCTGAGCCATATTCTTCTTCAATCAGGTCATAGGTTGGCCTGGGAAATGGCTGGAGTGCTTCACCATGACGTCAGCCCAGGAAACATCCTCATCAACGACGACGCTGGGTTAGCGTTTCTTAACGATTGGGACTTGGCGAAATATAGCGAGGATTTAGTCAGCGGTGTTGTGGCATCTGAACCGGCTGGTGTATCCGTAAGTTGCGCGTTTATATGTGACCGTTCTGCACAACTTAAGTCGCTGCTTTCAGGGTACCTGGCCATTCAAATCCTCCCTTGCTCTCAAATATCCCTTCAAGCCTGCGGAGGTGGCGGACGATATCGAATCCTTCATCTACATTATACTATATATGGCGATGAGATTCCACTTCCACGAGTTGTCTTCTTCAGCCTCGAAAGGCTCGTCTCTCGAGCAACAGAGGGCAGCCAACGCACAAAACGAGAGCCTTGCTTACCGCTTCTACGAAGTATTCCATGAAGCGGACCGGACCCACGGCATTTGCGTCGGCGGCTTTGTGAAAGAGCTCGCCATCGAAGCCACTAGGGTTCCTATCAAACTCGACCGACCAAACGGCCCTACGCCTCTGGAGCGCGTCCTGCAGAAAGCGTATAGACTACTGCATCGTCATTATAAGCGGGTGGATCAAGCTGATCTCGATCGGTTTGCAGTGGCTCCGAAGGCAGGCAGGCCGAGCCGACTGGTCCTTGAGACAGGCATTGGAAAGGAAAAAGACCCGTCTCATGTGGCATTATACGACCACGACTCCATGAATGTCACCCCCTATCGCGTACCCTCGTCTTCCTCCAGATCGTCCCCGAGCTCGGTCTCCAGCAAGCGTTCCCATAGACCCCTTGACAGCCACAGTGCCATGAGCGAGATACTGCGGTTAGCATTCTTCGACGACGACGGGAAGCCCCTCGATATCACCGACTACCTGGGTGACTGTCTATACGATCAATGCACCAACCAACCAGTAATGACTTCTTCGCGCAGGAAGAACTTCACTGGAGTGGCGCTGGCACATATTCTGGCCAGGTCGCTCGAAAGCAAGGCCTCGGAAAGCAACGATAGTGGGTCCGAGGTTTCAAGCCAGCTCCCCACCATCGAAGAGGTGCCCGAAGAAGACCGTGGCGCGGAACAGTCCAGTCCTGGTTCTGCGCCGCCGATCGCGGGAATAAGGGTCTCAAGGACGGCAAATCCCCCCAAGGAAACGCTGAAGTCGAAGAAGACTACGACGTCTAGAAAAGATTCCCTTCCCCAGAAGGCAAAGACCGCCGCTGTCCAGAAAGCGGAGACATCTCGCAAGTCTTCACTTCCCAACACAGAAGCACTGACCTCCGCATGGAAAGTGACCTCGAGGGCGAAGCTGACTGCAACCACTATCAAGACTTCTGCGAAACTAAAGGCCAGGGTCGTGGCTTCGGAGGTCAGCCGCGAGCGCGAGGCATCGAAGGCTGCTAATACTGCCGTCACTGCGGACAAGACGTCGGTTGCTGCAGGTGCGGTGCGGAGGTCTGCACGCCTGGCGACGAAGCAGGAGGACAACGCGCTTCCGCCACCCATAACCGGCAAGCGTAAACGGGGCGATGAAGCTACAGACGCTCAGAGTGTGCAGTTTCGCGCGAATGCGACACGAACACGCAAGATCACTAGCACTACGCGGGACAGGTCGGGAGCGGAGCCTGCTGTCACGCCGAAGCCTATCGCGTCAAAGGCTACCACGGCGCGAAAGGCGAAGGCAGCGTCGGAAGCCCCCGCAAGAAGGTCAACTCGCCTTGCTGCTAAAAAGGCTTGAGCACGGGGGTCTTATCAGTACGTTGTATGCAGCTTTAACTTGTTCTATACTCAGAGATACTGCGACACGTACGGAGTGATCATTCAAGGAGAATCACGAGCATATGACGAGTTGTGCCGTAAAGGCGACAGTTTAACTCGGCTCGTCTAGCTTACGGACAGGCCCATGTGCCCCACGAAACAAGCTCTACAGTATTACAAAAATACCAGTATATAGAGATGATACATAACGACATGGTATATAAGTCCAAGTTGCGTCTAAAGTGCTTAGGAGAACAAATCAACAAGGATGGTGATGATCCCGAGGCCTATCGCGAGGATTAATGTCAGGGCGCGTACGGCGAGACAGAGAAGAGAAGGTACCAATTTCGACGACGATGAGCCAGATGACAATCGTCTCGAGCCGCTCTGCATGCCGACTGGATACAGTTTCTTTGAGCAGCTGGAGCATATCCTGTAAAACCTGCGCAGCGACATTGACTTCGGGTAAGGTAGCGACGCAGAGGAAAGCTTACCTCAACACGAGTGTTGAGGAGGTTGATGCGCTGGGGTATCTCGAGGTAGCTGCGCGCGGCATCGTACAAGGGTTGCAGATCAGGGTACGTCTATCGAACAGGGTCAGTGGAAGAGAATTAAGTTTAAGCTCCGAAGGCGTACCCAGAAGACTTCCTACAAATGAAACCATAAGAGTCATGGATAAGTCATCGTGCAGAGCAAGAGTTCGCACATACGGGAGAATCCAACACGGAGCCGACAGAGTTGATATTTGTTCGCAAGAGGAATAGCTCGCCGATCTTACGCATGATCTCTATAGGTGCCTTCTGTTCAGAAGGTGGAGGTACGACGTGTATTCAAGAACGGACCTTTATGAGGCATGCCAATCTTGCCCGTCTCACTGATTATCTCAGGGATATCCTTCGTCTCTTCAATTGTGGAAGAGATGAGTTCCTCAAACTGAATAAAACAACAATGAGCGCATGTATCGAATAAGATGACAGGCCAAGCTTACCAAGGAGATCTTCACTGATTGGGCCAGCGCGTGTGACAGCGACAGCTTAGTCCTTCAGGGCGTGTAAACGTTAGTGGCGGCTTTTGAATTGACTACAATGAGTTGCTGACATATAAATTGAGCCTCTACGAAGAGTGATGACATCATTGTATATTCTGCGCGAGGCAGGTCAACGAAGGGCACGTTTCGGTGAGAGAACGTTACATACCGGGAATAGTTCGCATGATAATAGTTGAGATCTTCCATCTCAATTGCTTCGGGGGCTAGTAAGGAGACAATTGAACATCACTTCATATGCACGGATGAAGACACTATCATACCTAGCTTATCGACCTCGAAGCGCTTGCTGCGCTATCACTCAGCCCTGCTTTCATTAACTCACGTCAGTGAGGACTCACATAGACGATAAGAATCGCTTCTCTTCGGCCTCCGTCATCCCCCAAATGACCACAGTACCGTATGGGAACATGAATATCTCAGCCTCGGTCGGGACTTCCTTAAACTTGCTCTTCTTCCTCTTCCGCTTAGCGACGGCTTCAGCACCCGAGTCAGGGTCGGCGGCATGTGTATCGTCAGTGTGCGACTCTCCAGGTGCAAACTCGGGCACGCCTAAAAGGTCACCTTCTCGGGGCTGAGCAGGCCGGTCCGTGGGCTGCGATTGCGAGGACGAGAAATGGACATGCCGCGAGTTCGGCAAATCATAGGCGTATGGCGTATAGATCACGTCGTCTATAATGCGGGGGTTGGTGTGGTACGTGGATCTTCGAGCGTTGAAGAAGCGCATGAGTTCGGGGAAACGGTATGAGCTACGAGACTTGAATGTTAACACGACACGCGATTGCTGGAAGGAAACATATAGAAAATAAGTGTACATACGATGCCGTGGCAAACGCTGTTACACGTGGTAACGATTTTGCTTTCTTCTTGGTCAAACGCAGAGCATCTCGCCTCGCCGTCCCAGCAGGTATAAGATCTATCCTGTTGTACACCTGCAGCCCGATGCATTCATTAGAGAACGAAGTTTTCGAAAATTGAGACACACCTCAACGTCCTCGGTATCAATCTCGTCGTCACCATCTTCATCCTCGCTATCTCCCGCAGTAGCCGACTCTTCGCCCTCGTCTCGCCTTGGCGGAGCACTAACAGGTGGCTCAGCGCGGATGTTGTCTTTCGGGAGGATAGGTTCTGGTTGTTCTGGTAGTACTTTGAGCTTGCCGGCGACCTTCGTAGACCTGTTTGCACCGCGCGCTTTGGGTTCAACGCCCCGTTGGTTTGGCTGGTTCGTCGACATCCTCTCCGCCATCGTTCCGCCCGACCCCCCGACGCCTCTATACCCAACGACTGAGCGCCCGGCACTCCCCGACAATGACGACTTCCGTGACAAAGTCACATTTCGTGATAAGCTGTAACGGTTGTTACTTATGACAGTGACAAGGCGGCATGCGTGACAGACTCTTCTTGCGACTTGAATTGGAACTTAAACTTGGGACGAGGTTCATCGCCCTAGTGCCATGTTTGGAGCGATGCACGCAGTGAGTATAGCTGACAATATTCTAGGGTTGATGCTAAAGATCTGAAAGTGTTTAGGCCGTTTGAGTACTAGTGAGGGTATATTATTCGTGAGTGGTAAAGGTAGTTAGCGATGACTTGAATGAATCCGGAGCCCCGAATTTTTCCTTCGAAACTAAGCCTCTTCGATAAAGCTGGTTAAAAGTGCAAAAGAGACACTCATATTTGGTCAGCCTCAGCGGAGATGCTATTGGATGGCTCACATTGCAATGTGGCTGACTGACAAAAAAACCTTTGTCAGTCAGCCACATTACAATGTGAGCCATCCACCCCAGCCTTCCTCTCTTTTCTGACAACAGTCATGTATTCAGTGCTGAAGCACGCGGCAGTGCCTACTCTCATCGGGTTCGCACTGTCGCTCGTGTGGGCCGCCATATACGGCTCCCGAGAACTTGTCTGGCTTCCCGGTCTCTCTTTTCTTCTCTCATTTCCATGGGTCCTCACTGTTCTAGCATCAGCGCGGGTCGTCAGTCAACACATATTCTCCGATTCCAACGGCTCACGCCAATTCTTCGCGCGTGTCTACCGATGCAATTCGCTTCTTTCGATCTTTCATTCATTCGATTGCTGGTTCTCATCCTGGTCTGGCTACCACTATCCCTTCTTCGACGCCTATGAAGCCATCCTTCTCTACACTCCCTTCCGGCCCATTGACGTGCGGCTCGCTTTCTTCACCGATGTCCTCGACTTCCCTACAAGTGGCGAAGTGCTTATGATCATCATATCATGGCTCTTACTGGTAAGTTACAAGATGTATATTTAACGCGGAAGCTGACACAGCCTGGCTAGTCTGATACTATTGCAGATGCAGTTGTTGATACTTTCAGGTACTACACTGGCATCGCTTCGCTGCAAGCAAGAGTTGCCGCACAAGCACGTCGGTACGCGTTCATGAAGTCCACGGCGTGCCGGTATACCCAGGAGTTCGCGCGGGTCCGCACTATGCATGCACATATGGTTGGCAGACCGAACGAACAGCGCAAGCGTGTCGAAAGTCTGCAGCACAGTAACGAGCTCTCATGTGCGACCCTTGCCAGTGTTCGCGTAAGTCCCTGGTCGGTGACGCGTTGCTTTACCTAATTGTTTCCTAGAACGCCTACGCTGATGCGACAGCAACTGTGACTCGTCTTTCCGGCAAGAAACAGTTAGCTGAGGCCGCCTGCGATGCCACTGCAACGCGTATCCTGGAGCTCGAAGCCAGAATTATCAAACAACGCCAGGCGGCTGCAAGTCAGCAGACCCTCCTCCGCACTAAGATCTCGCAGCGTGCCGAGAATCTGCAGCAACTCACCAGCACCGTCAAGCACACGAGGAGAAAGTTGGCATCCCTCAAAGACGACATCCAGTCAACTCGTCAAACCGATCCGGAAGCGGAGCTCGACGCCCAGCGCGCTTCGTTTAGGGTTGAGCAAGCGCGCCTTCTAGCCGATCGTCTTGCCATAAAGACCGCGCACGACCGGAAGCTCGCGAACCTTACCCACGATATTTCCGCAGCAAAAGCCAGCCTCGAGGCGACCAATTCTCGTATTCATGTCGCCCAGAGCACTCGCGATGCTGAGCTGGTGGCGATGGAGGAGTGCCTTGCCGGCATGTCTCAGGAAGTCGACGGTCGCAGGTCGGAGCTCGCGGAAATGAAGGCGCTATGCGACGAGCTACGCATTGAGAACGACTCCATCGCGAAGAAGCATTCGGCGGCCAAGGTCAAATTCGCTAGAGTTCGGGCAGCGTATGCCGCTGATGTCTCTTCACTCACAATACACGCCGCCAAACACCACGAGGACAGCGTCGAGCGCCGGGCATTCCTCGAAGAGCGCCAGGCGACCCTTGTCGACTCGGCCGCCGTCGCCTCTCGGCTCGTCAAGGACGCCGAGGTCAGCCTCGAGTTCAGCATCGCAGAGCACAAGTTCCACGTTGAGCACTGCGCCAAGGAACGGGCGTCCTTCCACACCCGCCTTACCGCCTTCCAAGGCTCGCTATCCGCTGCCCGCTCTGCAAAGGAAGCGAAGGCCGCCGAGGTCGCCGCCCTTCGCTCACAGCGCGACCAGAGCCAGACCGATCAGCGCGAGGAGCTGGAGGGGCTCGGGTTCCGGCTAAAAATGGTGAGCGAAGGGTACGCGGGGGCGCGAGATGAGCGGAGGCGGCTGAAGCGTGAGCTGAAGGGGGCAAGGTGGGCGTTCGAGGAGGAGCAGATTAATAACCGGGCGGCAATCCGGGCCTACCACCGCTCGAGGGACGTCGGGAATAGCTACAGTGACGACCTCGTCAAGACGCTGGAGGAGACGAAGGCGCGCGTCTCGACGCTCGAGGCCGCATCCGCCGAACTCGCGAGCAAAATGGGCCCCGCTGACGCCGCGATGGCGGTCGCTGCGCTGGAGGAGAGGAGAGAGAAGGCGGAGGATGAGCTGGCGGACGCATACGAGGCGCTTTCGGAGAAGGAGATCCGGTTGAGTCGGCTGAAGGAGGAACTGGCGAGGGTCAAGGAGATGGGAAGGTCCTTGGAGGATGAGCGCGACGACGATCGGCTCGCGTTCAACAAGCAGCTTAAGAAGGCGATCCACGCACAGCATGAACTTCATCTCCAAGTTGTTGAGAGGAGCTGGTCCCACGAACGTCGGCTCACGGGGCTGGAGGAGCGATTGGCAGCGCTGAGCAAGTCACCAGCGACGAGGCGAGGGAAGCTGAGGAGTTCGATCGAAGTCGAGGAGATAGAAGAAGCTGTGGATACAACGGTACCGGAGTTCCTTCAAGGCTCTAGTCGCGGCGGAACGCCTGAGCGCGAAGGGGACGCGAAACAAGACACCTCTTCGTATCCGACTACGCCCGCGCTGACATACACCTCAGGAACATGGTCTCGCTCCCCTTCCCGTTCCCCTGGTCTGCCAAGTCTTCTACTGAACGAGTGCGCCACGTTGGTTGCACGTTCTGGTGAGGATGACGTAGTTTCCGGAGTCACGGCGGGGGATGGGGCAGAGGTGAACTTGGCCGATAGTTGAAACGGGACTGGTTGTACCCCTTTGTTTGCCATTGTACGCAATCCCTGCTAGTCTGTATTTGGTTTAAATTTGTTGGAACATCCACCGATATACTGATATAGATGTGGTTGCTCGAGATTAGTTCTCCTCTACGGAGTAGTAACAGTCGCAGATTCGGACCGTCTACCGCGTTAAAGAGATTTGATACCTCGGCTGCGACCATCAGTCTGAGTTAATTAAGCGCATTAGCGCATATGTAGATTTAGAGCACTCACGCTGTGCAGGAAAGACCAGCATTACGCCCTCAGATGGCAGCCTACAGCTTGGTGGCGCTAGCGTCTGTTTGAAGTCGTTGCGCCACATTCATGACACGATGGCCGAGGTTACGAACGGCCTGCATCTACAGAGCAAGTGCAGAGCACCAAATGTGGGAGTAACCCTTGCCTCGGAGGCACATCGAGCTGTGTGCGATCTGTGCGGGCGGGCCCACGGATATTGCACGGACTCGGACTCAGCCAACCGGGTGTTTACCCGATAACTTCGAGAATGCTCTCCATGTTCTTAACAATTCTATCTCTTCTCCGCTGCATGTAAGCAGACGTAAGTAGTTGTCTGCCGATTTTATTCGAGAACACGCTGAAATATAGGCATGCGATGTAGCGGGTTGCAGACAGTGCCGGGTAAGAACACAGCTACAGTCGACGAAGATTCATATTGGCAATTAACTTAAAGTTCTCCGGGCCCCACATGCATGAGCTTTTCGGAAGATGTAACGGTAAAGCGGCGGGGTGTTAAGGCGGGAAGACGCTCTCCCCGCATGGTGGTTCCAGCTAAAACCCCTGGAGTGATAACTTCCTATCAGCCCTACTTATTCAGGAGCTTAACCTGCACTAGAAGCACGATCCCCTGTCCGCGCAGGGCCCGGGGCTGCAATAGAAGTTAATATCGGCTCATACACCCGGTAGATCACTTTCACACCCCCACGATGCTTTCCGACGAGGTTCACCAGGAAGATAATGGACCTGAGTTCCGCTATCCGGCAAAGCAGTAGTGCATACAGGCTGGTGCGTGTTTCGAGTGCCCTTAACGCGGCAGCAATGTTGGTCATAGATCGCGAGCAATGATCCCGAGAGACGGTACAACAAATGCAGTGTGAACCCTGAGCACCACTTCAAAGCTACGTGTCAAAGCCAATAGTGCGCATATTTGCCTCGTTAGGATGCTGTGCAAACGAGCTACGAGCTCAGCCTGAGACTTCGAACTATCGCCCTAAATTGATGTGATTAGGGCTTTAAACGATTTACACCATCTACTAGCCTCCATATTCAGGAAGAGTCATAGATTCAATTATTCTTGCATACCTTAGCAACAGTCGCAAGATAGCTAAACTAGCGAGGCTCGGGACGACATGGCGGCGAGCGGCAAGAGCAGACCGGACGAGACTCTGCGTGACGGCTCATCACGCGCTTGAGTAACAATTCGTGACTTTGTGACATGGGTCACCCGCCGTCGGGACGCGCTTTTGACGGCGCCCCCCATGACGAGGTGCTGGAATTCGAACATGCTCCTCACCCTGACCACCGTCCGCCATATCTAAAATCTCGCCGAATTGGCGCGTTTTTCCTCTATCGTAAGTTGCAGGGAAGATCACGAGTCGAGGTCGGCAAACGTGAGCCAAAAACCGCACCTGGCTTGAATCTCCGCAGTGAAGTTCGTCTTTTCCAACAATAAGTTTGGGTGTGTATGTTTGCCTTTATCAGGTCTCCAATCACATTTCAGGCTGACAGGCTGTCAAGGCCTGTTCAGACGTACCTGCCGTGACGCGCCTGGCGCTGGACGTCGTACTCCATGCCGGACGTTCCCGCTGAAGGCGTTCATGACCCCAACCTTGCTCAGCCGGAATACCTCTAGTATGTCATTCGCTTCATAGGTTTTTGAATTCTCATGACAGTAACAGTACTGTATTGAATCTTCCCACTACCGCGACAAAGGAGGAAATCCGAGAGCGGTATCGACAGCTGTCTCTCATATTTCACCCTGACAAGCAACATGGGAAGCCAACACAAGAGACTGCATTGAAGCGTTTTTTGGAGGTTCAGAAGGCATATGAGAGTGTGTTACGTCGCTATCTCCGTTGAACTGGCTGACCATCTCCGCCGAGTTCAGTCTTATCTGACTCTGTGACCAGGTATGTTGCGTTTGGTTATTAAAACACGGGTCTCATCGATCCTTTAGGCAAGCCTATGATCTTTATGGTGAGCACGGCGATATGCAGCTATTCTTGGAAGGCTCAAACATCCTTTGTAGGTCTAGAAGGCGTCCGACTGGCGCGTGACCTTCAGTTGTCAGGGCTTCCTCTCGATGTCGTGAGTAACAATGACCCAAAGTTTATCATATCAACTAATGAGCATAGGTCGAGAATAAGCTAAAAATCAAAAAGGCCGAATCTGACTATCTGAAAACTCAGACATTGCTCCAATCAAATGGCGAGATCGGTATGGGAGTCGATGCTCGTCCCCTCTTCGTGGAGGCTGACAATGAGGAGTTCAACAACTCTCTGCTTCTCCATCGAGCGTGGGTCAGAATCACCAGTCTCAGGCTCACAGGGGTTGCCGTGAAGAACGTCATCCAGGTTGGCCCATCCCGTTCATTTCCGCGAGTCCGTTAGGATTCATCAGAATGCCAGAAATCTATTTCAGATACCCTGATACTTACCATGTCCGGGCAGTCACGCGTCGGGCCAGTAGGCCGGCTAGGCTCGCCCACGGGGAGGCATCTCATCGGGACCGCTCGATATCAATTCTCGCCCAAGATTGGCCTAGAGGTGAGTTTATGAACGGAGGACTCTGAGTTACCCTCACAATCATGCATTATTCTCTAGGCGTCCGCTTCTTTGCTTAGATCCCGAAACCTAGCTCTTGGGGCAAACTTTGACGATGGGGACAACGTTGTAGCTGTCAAAGCATTCTTCGCGCCTGGTTTCGATAGTGGACTGGCTAATCTGCGGGCAGCCTCCGGCTCCACCTTGGCTGCATTGCCCCCGGTGACGTTCTCGCTGCAGCGGAGACTTTTCCCCGGCGCAGCTACATTCGGTATTTTCGAGTTCGCCACGAACAGTTCTCTACCGTCATTTACACTCGCAGTGTCGTCTCAAAAGCGGCTGGATCTTGGCATAGAAGAATCTACCCCGTTGCCGAGAGGCCCTCCGTCCAGAACGGGACTCGCCTCTTGTGTTGGCCACTGGAGCTTTGGCACCAGTGTGCTCGGCGTCCTCCCTGTGCTTTTCGGTGAATGCGGCCTGATCTTCGTAGAGTTAGGGCTGCAGCTCAAAGCCAGGCTCGAGGCTGGTCTGCAAGCTCAAACAGGGGTCTTGTCAGTATCATGGGGCGGTGAACGTAACACAACCCTGAGCAGACTCGGTTTTGACGTGGGGATGGGAACCGGCGGCGTCGAGCTAAAAATCAGGTAGGCCGTTTTCCTATCCTCAGCTGTCGCTCTCAGGGTTTCACTGCTTTCTTCCCGTTATAGTGCGATATATATGAATCAGTTGTTCTACGTACCTATCGCTCTGTCGTCGGAGTTTAATGAGCTGGCGGCATTTTGGGCGACAGTCGTGCCTACCACCGCTGTCACTTTAGGTTATTGGTTTGTGCTACGGCCCCTGAAGCAGAGAGAGCGACTCACGTGCGTGGCATTTATCTTGGGTATGGACTTGACTTACATGCACAATGGACACAGCTTCTTCCACCAGGCACGACGTGAGCTGCGCGAAGCCAAAGCGGACATAGTTCGCGCGGCAGAGGAGACTGTGTCCTTGTTACGCGACACGGCCAGGCGGCACACGGAAGCCGAGGCGTCAAAAGATGGTATGTGTTATTTCAACTGCTTCGTGTTGCAACGCATGCTTGTAGGACAATTACGTGGGTGCTCAACCAGTCTTTGATCAGGTTTGGTTATCGTCGAAGCTCGATATGGCCCGGCAGACCAAAACGACGAGTCTACGAAGGGGCTGGACGTCGACGTAACTGTACCCTTACAGGCGTTGGTCAATAACAGTCAACTCTACATTCCAGGAGGCCGATCCAAGGTGCGTTCTGGACCGAGGATGCTCGTTTCTTTCATTTCAGCCTTCATTTCCCCTTATTCCTGACCGTGCGCGGTGATTATGGAAGCACCGCGAACCCTGGGTATTTCAATGAGGCGAAGCAGCAGGGTCGGGGTCTATTACTGCTTTACTTGGACGGTATGCGTTGTGTATCAGCGCTGCCCCGTTTCATATGTTGTTGCGCATGGCAAGCGACGTTTGCCTTGCCCTCGCTGATATTGGCTATGGATGGGTTACGAGATATTTTCTCATGGCCCTCAGGTCATCAGCGGACTGCGAACGGACAGCCTCTCCTTGTCCGTGCCAACATTAGCCCTTCCATCCAGACGGAATTGACTTGCTCCTGGGAGTTTGCTAGGACCTTCGTTTCTCCCTTATCCGACATGCGAAGATCCTGATCTTCACTCTTATCTCTTGGTGCAATACAACTGGCTCAGGGTCTTCCGTGGTTAACTGGGATGACGTTGGCCAAACCGATAGTCTTTTCTATCGTGACGACATCCTCCTGATGTCCACATACTGACTGTTGATTTCTCATGGTGTTAGGCCGGACTACAAGGCTTTTACGACCCTGTACCATCCGTCGGAAAGTCGATGCGAGTGCGATACATTTTCCGGGGGCACCCGCACTGCGCAGAAATCTCGGACTTTGCGCCGCTTGTCCTTCCTCTTGAGGGTATGTTCCTCCACGCTGCTGTGCTAAAATTTCTGATTGACTGTGCGTCCGATTTGCGTGACAGACCATCTGGTGTCGTAAACCTGGAACTTCCCAGACATAGTTCAACCTATCACCGTATGTGTAGCTGACATTAATGAATCCCCTACTCCGCTCCACCGTTCTCTTCCGGGAAGGCAAAATCTGTGGGTTGATATGGGTGCGTTCTTTACTTTTTAACGAGGTTCACTTCCGCTCCTGTGGCAGCTTCTGCATGCCGTGCTGGGGCACCGTGCGGCTCTGGGAAGCACACATTGGCTGGGGGAAAGAGTGTGCCCGAGAAAGACGCTGGATGTCACGATGTCAATGATGCATTGGTACAGGCGATAGTTTCTTTAAGGTCGGAGATGATTGCCCTGAACTGTCGAAGGAGACATTGACAAGGGCGCGTAAACGTGGGTACCCTCGGAAAGGGGTTTCCACATGCCGGCGGTGAAAATTGCAGCGCGGAGGCATGTGCTCATTCTCCGAGGCCTGGTGAGTGCGCCAACTCGTCTTTGGCTCTCTCGCAGAGCTGATTTTGCATCTTCGCTGCCACCATGCAGGACTCGTGAGACGCCACAAAGCATGCGCTCCTTATCGGGCAGTTTTCTGCTTAAAACACCGCGGCATGGGAACGCCGTACAGGCCTGCGCCCATCCGTCTCAATGCGGACGACCTCACTTTGCCCGCCGCTCGATGGCCTGCTTCCGGACTCGAGGGCGTAGCCGAGCGTAAGGGCGAAGGTCTGGGGATTCTGTCCGAGGAGATCCTGCTGGATGTTCCCGCCCTGCGGGAGAATTTTACTCCCTCCGTCCTACTGGCGACCCTGTCCTAACTCCGCCCTTTCCAAACTTTTGCCGTGTTAGGCCAGGTGGTGCTCGGACGCTTCTCATCAGTGGGAAGATGCAGTGGTGTGAGTCTGTCCTCAAAATACTCCACTGGTGCATCATGGCGCTGCGTGCTCACACTGTTGACTTCCCGCTGCCTGCGCGGCCCTATGATATGAGGATAGCTTCGAACCTTCTCGGATGCGTCAGCTGCGAGATCGCCCCCAGTGCCGTAACGGCTGGGAACAGGAGCCATCTTGTTGCAGGATGACCGCCGCCCCACCAAGTACACGAACAGGCCAGCACCTGGCCGCAGCTCGATAACTTAACCGTCCGCTTGAAAGGGCGCCTTCTCCCGCGAACCTTTCTGGGCCCGAGCTTGAAGGGTGCATGTCAACATGAAACGTGCGATAAGCGTGATACAAAGTTGGCCGTTGTACACGATCTGTCGTTGACACCCAGCGGCGTACCGCCAAGGGTGGGTGCAGATTGAGTTCTCGCCGTTCTGCTCCATTCAGCAGGAGTCAGCCGCACGAGCGGGGTCTTCGCTGCGGAAGGAGTCGGCACCATGAGGAGCGGCGTAGGAAGTTGGGCAGGCTGGTGGTCATTTGATTGGTGTTCTTTTCCAACCCTACCGGCTCGCCAATCAAGCGCATGCCAGCGGCAGTCTGGGGCCTGGGCTTGTCCCCCTCAGCCAGCCGCCGCGAGCCGGACGCGCACTTAGGAAAGCAGATGTGCGTCACACGCGCGCTGCTGGCGACGTCAGCGCTGTGTACCCGTGTGTGCGGTCTTGTGGGCAGTGAGCATAAACGCGTGAACTCCGCGTTGTCCCATCCGCACGCCTCTGGACGCACGCCCGCCTCCGCCCCTCCTGGGCCTGGGAAACAGACAGTCGATCTGCTCACTCCCACGTAAATTCTAATCAGTTTCGATCAGATTGAGTAATGGGCCTTTGCGGCTCTGTTGGCCTCTGCAGAAAGTTCGCGGGAGAATATCAGGGGCATCTCCGGCGGACGTTGGCGGGATCTAGGCTACCCCGGTTTAATAAATTAGTCTATCTGGCGTTCAGCCTCTGGTAATACCTGCTTCGCATTCTGCCGCATGCCGCTTCGCTAACGATCCTCTGCCCATCGTCAGGGGCCTCAGGCCGTCCTCGTCCTTGTGACGTCGCTTGGAGGCACAGCTTAGCAGCTCTCGGCGGAATAGCTAGCTGCGATCGGGTGCAATTCACGGGTCGCCCACCCGCTGTCAGCGATTCCGTCGGCGAGGACAACATCTGGCGGGCGTCGAGCACGGCGGTAGTGGGCGGCAGCGATGGTGTGCCAGGCGCGGTGGGGTCTCCATCGTGAATAACGTAACCCGTCGAGACTCGTTTGGGAGGCAAATCCGCACTGAAATCCTGGGCGCCCGGTTGGCTGTGGTCGGCATGAGCCCGATTTTCCGGAGTCGTCGGCCATCCGGGTAATAACTCAATGTAAACTCTAACGGGAAACATCTTCAGATTCGGGGATCCCCTTCAGAGTTCGGCCCCTGGAACTGACCAGCACAGGCGCTTACCACTCCCCGGATAAATATCAATGCTCTCCCAAAACATAGTCTGCCTCCTCCTACCCCTCGCTGCCGCTTGCTTTTCCCTTTCCTATACTCCTCATGCAGCAACCAACACTCCAGAGCGTTCGCGTCCGCTCCACCCGCGATGCTCTCCAGATTTTCTACGCCGTCGCCCGCGGCGTCCTCCCCATGATCACCCGACGTCTCGACGCCGAGGAACGCAGGGCCATTGTCCCAGGCAATGTCTACATCTGGGAAGAGCGCTGTGCCAACGCAGAAATTACCGGTCTCGGCATGGAACGCTGGTACGTTCTCCTTTGTTCATCCTCTACGCCCACAGGCTCGCTCACTAAGCATTCGCTGACCAGGACGGACGGCATATCGTGGTCGGCATCACGAATAGCCCAAGAATTTCTCTTTTACCGCCAAAGAGACTCGGATCAAGACTCGGCCCATCCCTCTAACCAATGGGCTAACATAATGAAGTACGCACCATTCCTTGTCACGCGCGCAATACGGATCTTAACTGTTTTATTGTCAAGGCGAAGAGACCCTCGTAGTACAAACCCTCGGTCAGAGGTCGACCGCTTAATCAAGCAGACCTATAGTGTGCACGTCTCCTTGCCGGAAGACCGCCCTCGAGGCCTCACTCGAAAGTGGCACCTCAGTGAGTGCGCCTTGCATTCTGCAAACGCTCGCCGCTGACCGCTCTCCAGCCGCCTACTTCAGCCAAGCGACTCTCGATAGTCTTAACACCATAGACACCATCCCCGGCGTTGGTGACGTCCAGGTTCCTCAAGGCTGGTTCAAAAATGCGCGTGCCAGCAAGGCGAGACAAGGCGACAATCACCGAGATGACGACAACTCGTCCCCGCTCCAGGATCCTTGGGCTTCTGTTGAACCGATGACGACCACATTCAGGGCACAATTTTCGCTCGACGACGACGACAAACGAAGGTGGACATCCAACGTCGCGCCTCCCCCTGCTCCCCCGCCACACGACCGCCGCGGTGACTTCTCACCCGCTCATCCTCCGGCGCACACACCCACGACCTCTATCTCGCACCCAGGGCGGCTTCCTCCAGCAGCGGAAGCTGCGCGCGACTACTACCGAGATCCGTCGCCCTTCACCAGCCAGTCATCATCATCAACGTCTTCGGAGGTAGATGCGTCGCCTCGGGCGTTCAGTGCGCCCTCGACGCCCCCAGTCCCAGCATCCTTCCCCCAGGTCCAAGTCGCGCAGCACCAAACGACGCCCGACCGCAGTCTGGTCCCTCTATCAGTGCTCACATCCATACGACAGCCCGTCAGGGATCCGATCGCCGAGGACTGTCTCAGGCGACTGTCCGGCACACCGCGCTTGGAGAATCGATGGCCTGACTCGCGCACGCCTCTCCCGTCTTGACGAGTGTCTCATCGTGCGCATTCGGCTACTCTTCTCCCGAGTCCAGGCTCCCCTGTTTGGTGCTGTCCCCCAGCGTCATCCCTGCCGCCGGCGGGTCCAGCTCGGATCATCCCTGCGCAATCCTATCAGTTTGCGGAGGGGGTCGTTGGGGGATAGCCTTGTGGATGGAAAAGCGGCCAGATTGGTCCGCCGCTTTCGTATCTCTCTGCATGCGCGACCGCGCTCGTCGGCTCGAGGGTCGTCCGAAGACTCTTGTGACCGCGGACCCGCAGCTCTGTGCTCACTCACGATTCTCATGCTCATGTCCTCTGCTCGTTCTCATGTACGCTGTTCCTGGATATTCACATAAGGATCACAAATCGCATCGCATAGCATCTTGTATTTGTACCACTCACACGATATATCAGGCTAATCAACCTACACGCCGTTGTTCTGATGCTCCTCTCCCCAACCGCATGCCACAGCCGTCTCCGCTGTGAGCTAAATCGGCATAAGCTCATAAACTTCACGCATATGAGTGGGGTCCAATATAGCTTGCTTGACTAAACACGGAGGGGCTCTAACCCGGTTTGTCTCGCGCATTCAGACCAGGGCGTCAATCCCTTTTTTGCCTCCATGAGCGACGGGATGGAAACATGAGATCGGCTGCAGGGACAACATACGAGGTCCCTTTTTTTCGAGCGACGTTCGAGAAAGAAGATCGGACCTGGCAGGCACGAGTAACGACTGCCGCACGGGCGCGCGGAAACAAAATGATGTTGATTGCCCGACAGGCTATAACGAACAAGGATCAAGTCGCGACGTTCCCCGCAGAAACTCTATCAGATCTCGCTGGGAGAGGCGACCGTTCTGTGCAACGCCTGTCCGTGTGCGGTCTCGTCCCGTGTGGACAGCGGCTGCGACGAGCAAACCTTGCCGCCGCCCCATATAGGGCTATATTGTTCGCTCGGTCGCATGCTCCTCCCGTGCCCCCCACCCCCGTCGCAGCGCAAAACGCTAATTCAAAACAGCGGCCTCGGCGCAACCGCCGACGCTAAGGGTCGCTAGGCCCACAGAGAAGAGACTTTGCGCCAGACCTTGAGCACGCCTGTCCCGATGCTTCCTAACAGCGTCAGCATCTCAGATTGATACATTGCGCTCGGACGGCGCGCGTGGGGGGCAGCTCACTCACTTGGCATCCGGGACGTCCTCGAGGGGCGTCCACAGCGCGCTGGGCGGCGACGCGGCGTCTGCGGAAACACAGAAACCCTTGTTGAACGCGGACGCCCGTTGTTTACCCTTCTTCATGCGTGCGGCTCCTCCGCCGGTGGCTGGAGACGCGGGGGCGAGCGCGGGCGGGTGCAGTCCACCGCCGTCGAGTAGCACCCACTGAACCCTGTACGTCTTTCGGATGTGCGAGAAGATGTGGAGAACCTCTCCCGCCGGCTTGATCTGGGCTATTGTGAGCACGGGTTCTGCGGGGCACGCTGGCACCTCGGCCGCGACGCGACCGTGCGGCGCGGGCGCGGTCCGAGCGTACGACCGCGGGGGGACGGCTAAAATATTCGCAAGATGCCTCTCCGGGAGCGCATGCATCGCAGCGGCGGGCAGGTCGGGCAACACATCGGGTTCTGTGGGGAACTCGTGGAGGCCCGCCAAGAGGCCTGTGAAGACATCAATTCAGGGAGAGACAATCACCGATTGTCGTCAATTCACTGACCTCCTTCTGGCCGGCGAACCAATAGGAACCACCGCGTCTGTGTGGTCGGATGACGCCATTCGACGACGTTCACGATGTCCACCTCTACTCTAGCCTTTTTGCGTTCCGCTTTCATGGGAAACGACGTGACCGGGCTGCCGAGCGGCAGCGCTTCGCACGTTTTGCAGAGCTCCTCGATGTCAGGGAGAACGCTGCTCGCCTCGAAGTCTCGGGCAGCAGCCGGGACCTGGTCAAGGGATAACAAAAACAGTATCAGATGAGGAAATCTTCGAAATACGGGCCGCGGCCTACTTTGCTCGAGGAATGTTCATGCCGATACGCCCTGCACCATGCCTGGAGTGGACAGGAATCACACGATGGGTCGCGCACCTTGCAAACGGTGGCACCTAGCTCTATGAGCGCCTGGTTGACGTCTCCCGGCCGCTCCGAGCCTTCAACCATCGCGGCCGAGCCGGCCCAAAGTACGTTCAAGCTCTGTTTGGCTTTGGGAGGCGCGTAGAGTGCCAGCAGGCGGCTCATCAGCCTGTGCACGTTCCCATCGAGCTAGACCGAGTGGTTAGACGCACCCCAATCGCCGCACGGCAGCGCAGATCAGCACACTCACAACGGGCACGCGTTCGTTGTAGGCTATTGAGCAGATGGCGCCGGCGCTGTATCTGCCGATGCCCGGAATCTGTGCTTCCATGTCTTTCGCATTGTCCGGTAGCCGGCCCCCGAGCTCGTCCATCGCCTTCTTTGCGCCCTGCAGCAGCCTTGCTGCACGCGAATAGTATCCGAGACCCTTCCAGAGCGCGTTTACCGTGTCAATGTCTGCGGCGGCCTGGTCCATACGTAACACTGTTAGGGTCGTATGTAAAGACAGATATGCAACGCACCAAATCACGGATGGTAGGAAATCTAGAACCGGAGATAGCGTTAGATAAAGCGCCAGCTTCGGAACGGACGTTCATTAAACTCACCGTTCCATCCACCTATTGTAGTACGGGATAACCGTGGCGACTTGGGTCTGCTGAAGCATGATCTCCGAAATCCAGACCTAAAGGCAATCAGCAGGTAATCAGTACCCTCGATAACATTGACACAAGCCTGTTCAAACCTCATATGCACGCTGAGCGCGATTATCGGGCCTCAAAGTGGGGTCATACGGTTTCCGCCATGGCATCCCTCGAGCTTCATGTACGCCTGCGTACCACTCTAGGAGAGCAGAACGCAAGGGCGCAGCGTTCAAAATGATATGCGTAGATAATGGGTGCATTTCGGTGTCGCCCTCTTCAGTCGCCTCCGCCAAGTCCTGCTGAGATTTCTTTGCTTTCTTCTGTGGCTGCTTCTTCCGCGCTGTCACGGTCTTTGTGCGTGCACGTTTCGACGTAAGCGTAAAGGACGCGTCGTTGAAGTCACTCTCTTCATATTCAGACCCGCTATCGACGACAGCGCGAGTTCGTTTCGCCATTCTCGCGAGATTTGCAGGTATGTGCGGATAATCAAGTACGGCGCCAAAGGTGCTGGCTGATTCCTGACGAAGTGGTTCCACAAATAAGTGATATGAGATGAATTATAGAACAAACAAATGGAGTAATTGACGCAAACATTTACCTGCAGATGTGTTTGTTGAAGCAGGTGCTCGACACGAGGATGATGCTCGACTGATGCGGTCAAAGTAGGTCCATGTTCGAAATTGCTGGTCGCGTAGCGTGACAGGTTGTCGCGTGCAGGGTGTGACGATGTTTGACCCTGCTGTGCTAGTTATCTGACATCGCTTGCTCCATATCAAGCCTGAAGATATTCCTCGAGAATAATCTTGTGCGCAAGCAAGTGAATGATCCAAGAAACACTAGAAAAGTGATGACTGGTAGGTGAAAGTGGCCACAAGCTCCTGTTTCCTTCGGTCACCCAAGAAGCGCGCTCCGTCACGTCACATCGTCACTTGGCAGAGCGGTTTTATTGCATCTCCTGCATACCGCCTTGCCATGCATTTTCGAGGAGCGCAACGATGCCAAGCAGCATGACGCAGCCGTTCGCAAGAACACGAAACATATGAGATCTCCAGCAGCCGCGAGGGCGGGGGTTTCAGCATAAACGCCGAAAGAGGCAGTGGTGATGCACTGATGCGGGCGTTCTCACGGCTACTAAACCGCCACGTCGTCACTTTGAACTCATCCCCCGACTCCTTCACCGTGTCATCCCTCTTCGTCCTCTGTTGGTCCAGCTCGCCATGTCCTCGCGTGTACACATCGCTCGGCCAGCCTCTGGAGGCTACCAGCCTGACCCACATGGCTTCGCCAACTCCCGTCCGTCTTCTGGTTACAGGGCAGCGAACCCGGACGACCCAATCGAAAAGATTCGCGCCTTTGCTCGCACAGCGGAGGACCAGATCGATATATACACCCAGCCGTTGAAGCCACACTTGCCGGCAGTTGGCAGGTTCCTAATTGTCGTGACTTTCCTCGAGGACTCGTTGCGCATCGTCTCGCAATGGGGTGACCAGCTCTGGTACCTGCAGAAGTTCGTTCAGTTCCTGTTCCGCATGCTCTCGTGTGTTCACGCGCTCCGTCGGTTCTTTCAGACACCGGCACTTCCCGTGGGGACTTTCGCATCTGTTCCTGGCACTCAACGTTGTCGTGCGTGTCACAGTTCAACCCCGTGTTTCGGCCGTCTTCCTGACACGTCCGTTTGTCACAAACTAGCTTATGCTGGCTGGCTCTGGGGCAGTCATAACGAAGAAACACACTGAATACGCCGTTGGCGGTCTCCTTTCCGTCGTCATCATGCAGGCGGTTGGCTATGGTCTCATCTTCGACCTCAACTTCTTCCTGCGCAATCTCTCGGTTATCGGCGGTCTCCTTATGGTGTTCAGCGATTCTATGTACACTCGCAAGACGCTGTTCGCTGGTCTCCCAACCTTGAGTGAGACGGATCGCAAGAAATAGTACGGCTCCACGTCACTTAAGCGCCCCTAACGCTAACTGCTCGGCGTGTAGCTTCTTACTCGCAGGTCGTGTGCTCCTCATCTTCCTCTTTATTGGCTTTGCCTTCCGTGGTAAATGGAGCATTGGGCGCGCCTTTGTGTCGCTCGTCGGTTTCGCTGCTTGCACGATGGTTGCCGTCGGCTTCAAGGCAAAGTGGTCTGCGGCGTTCCTCGTTCTTGTCCTCAGCATCTTCAATGTTCTCATTAACAACTGGTGGAGCGTCCATAGCGCGCACCCTCAGCGCGACTTCTTGAAGTGAGTTCCGTCGTGACCGCGAGGAGTGCTCACGCTGACTTGCGCTTTGACAGATACGACTTCTTCCAGACCCTCTGTAAGTCTCACATAATCTTTTTCTCAATTGCTTCTAAACTTGGACTTGTTAGCCATCGTTGGGGGCCTGATTCTGTTGGTGAACATGGGTCCTGGTACGTCACTTACGCGCTAAAGCATGTGTGCGCGTCCGCTGATCCTTCCATAGGTGGTTTGTCCGTCGACGAGAAGAAGAAGACATATTAGTCAGATGCAAAAGACGAGGCCTCCCATCGGTAGGCTGGATTTTATTCAATTGAGTTGTATATCGCTGCACACGACCGCGAGCCAGGGCGATATGCGGGAGGGGGCGGGGAAGCTGTCTTTTTTATACGTTTTACTCGCGTGTTCCAATAGGATGCCTTAGCTGGACGATTCAATATTTAAACATCGCAACTAGCTCGAGGATGGTAAGGCTTGGATCCGGTCTTCCCGAAATCCTGCAGGTCGTAAATGAGTGAAAGCGCCCAGAATTGAGACGCTTACCTGAATTGGATGAGTTTGATTGGACGGGAATTTTGCTCGGCGTTTCTTGCCTCTTGCCTGAATGCTCGGTGCGGTACACTGCTTGTGTGGCCTCTCTTCATTCTCGTTCCCTGGTCATCTTGCCTTCGGTATACCTTTCACGACGCTATAACAATGGCGACACTACTAGATCCGGGCTCGGTTAAGGTCTACACAGTCAATGGTGCTGCATCTGGCTCCTCGTCTTCATTACCTGACTGGCTCACTCGCAAACGCGCTGTGAAGGAAAAGGGCAAGCGGGGAGCTGTGAAGGAGCAGATCGAAGGGAGCCTGGAGCTCATTCAACACTTTGAGTTTCCCGAGGCGAGCAATCGCGTAAAAACAACCAGGGACGGACACCATATCGTCGCAACTGGAACGTACAAGCCGCATATCAGGGTCTGGGATCTGGACCAGCTCTCTCTGAAGTTTGAACGACATTCAGACGCAGAAAATGTCGACTTTCTTGTGAGTGAGTCTTCTGCTCGTGTACTGTGCCCTTGTGCAAGAGTTTACGTTTGCTCTGCAGATGCTCTCAGATGATTGGACCAAGTCTATACACCTCCAGAATGATCGTTCGATAGAATTTCACAACCAGGGCGGGCTCTACTACCGCACCCGAATACCACGCTTCGGTCGAGCGCTAGGATATCACTTCCCTTCATGCGACGCTCTCATCGTCGGTGCTGGGAATGAGGTCTACCGGCTAAATCTGGCCGAGGGGCGCTTCATGACGCCCCTGGTGCTGCAGGGCGAGGGCGAGGGCGACGACGTCCAAGGCGTGAACTGCATCGATGTCAATCCTGCACATCAGCTGTTCGCTTTCGGCGTAGAGGGCAATGGTACGGTCGAGTTCTGTGATCCGCGGTCGCGTACGAGGGTTGGACTGTTGAGGCTACCTGTCGGACGACTTCTACCTACCGGTGTCTCGGTGCCTGGGCTTCCCGGCCTGGAGGACATAACTGGGGGACCTTCTGTATCGGTCACTGCACTTGCTTCCCGGATAGACGGTCTGTCGTACGCTGTCGGAACGTCGACCGGGCACACGCTCCTTTACGACATACGCTCCGCTCGTCCCTTCGCAATTAAGGATCAAGGGTACGGGCTGCCCGTGAAGAACGTTTCTTGGATCGAGGGTGGTAGCAGGATGGCCGGCGAGAGCCTGGTTCTCAGCGCGGACAAGAAGGTCATCAAGATTTGGGAAAAAAACTCAGTACGTGGCACTGCCCATACCGAGCGTTCTCTGCTATCGCACACATCACTAACAGACAATTGCTTCCGCAGCCTTCTGTGAACTTTACTTCTATTACACCTGCTTCGGATATTAACGATGTCCACCATTTACCCGGGAGCGGTCTTCTTATGCTCGCGAACGAGGGCATACAGATGACCACGTACTATATTCCGCAGCTGGGTCCTGCGCCGCGATGGTGCAGTTTCCTCGAGAATCTTACGGAGGAAATGGAGGACCAGACCACGCGGACGGCATATCAGGACTACAAATTTGTCAAACGCAGCGAGCTGGCGAGGTATGTATTTGTATTCAATCGAATGGGAGTCTATGAGCTCATAACCTACGTAGTCTCGGTCTGGACCACCTGATTGGTACACCGGCGCTAAAACCGTACATGCATGGCTACTTTCTCTCCCTGCAGCTGTACGACACCGCGCGGCTCATTGCTAACCCATATGTCTACGAGGAGCACCGCGAGCGTGCGATCCGGGAGAAAATGGAGAAGATGTCCGAGACACGCATTCGCACGCGAAACGACGCGGGAGTCAAGGTCAATAAGGGGCTGGCTGAGAAGATCAGGAAGGAGGAGGGGCGCGAGAGGAAGAAGACTGAGAAGAAGGCCGCGCGCAAGGCGAAATCCACCGAGGATGATGCCATGGGTGTCGTTGAGAATACGCATGCGCGCGCGGAGGGCGAGCCTGGGAAAGCCGCGGAGAAAGCGAGCTTGCTCAATGACCCCCGCTTCGGGGAGCTATTCGAGAATCCGGAGTTCGAAGTGGACGAAGAGAGCAGGGAGTTCGCGCTCCTCAACCCCTCAGCTGTCGCACAACGGATGAACCAGCGCGGTGCAGGTGCGAATGTTAGGACGAGGACGGCAGCCGAATCTGAGGAGGAGGAGAGCGACAAAGTGTCTTCCGACGGGATCGATGACGATAGCGAGAGCGAGAGCGGGCGTAGAAGCAATAGCGAAAGCGAGAGCGAAGATAGCGATGCTGCTGGAGGTATGGGTCATGATATACTAGTAACAAGATGTCGCTGATCGCCATCTTATTTCTCCAGAGCTTTGGACAGATGACATCCGCGCCCGTGCTGCTGCCCGTCAGAGCGCGGCAAAGCCAAGAAAGGTTCCTGTGAACCGCAACCCGAATGTGCGTCTGGTACCCATGCGCGCACAGGCGGATGGTGCGGGCGGACGCCTGGGCAGGAATACCACATTTGGCCAGCGCCGCTCGACAGCGTCGCTCAAAGGTAAGGGCAAGCTGCCAGATTTCGAGGGCGTCGAGTTCTCCGCCGATGGCGGAGTCGAGATGACCTACATCCCGTCTGCCTCCGCCGCCGCCGATGAAGATGAAGACAGAGGCGGCAGGGCCGCTGGCAAGAAGCCAAAACGTAAGGGTATCGAGACCTTCGGTGCTGGTCTGGAGAAGGGTGGTGAAGAGCGTGCGGTCGCGATGAGCGAGGCTGAGCGGCGTGGCAGGACGCAACGCAGGAAAGGTATGCGCAGTGGGAGCAAAAACACCTTCAGGCGACTGTAGACCGGTTTACGACTCCGCTTGTGATTACGAGAAACCTCATGTTCTACGTTCACCGTCCTGCGCTACGTATACAGCTGAATTTTCTCTCGTAAGACGCCGTTTGCCACCATCTAAGCGTTGACTCCGCGACAGACCGCAGCCGATCCCGGTCCACAAATGAGAACGAGACCTTACATTACCCGCGAGCCTTATTGACTCCCTCCTGCCTAGCGACCTGTATGTCAGTGCGTGTCGTAATCCCGGGTCCCTTGCTATGATGTGGCGGACGGTAATTGCCCCGCTTCTGCACCACCACGAGCTGCCTCTACTCTGTCGATAATATCGATTGAGAACAGTATAGAATGCAAATTCTGAGACGCACAGTGTCTATTGGAGTGCACTACGATTTCCCAGTACCTGGTGTCTTCTTCAAACTCTCCACATTTGCATGCCCTTGTACGCCGACGGCGAGTCCGCCGATACGTGATTCGAACGGACTGCTGCCTGGGTTCAAATCAGATTTGATTCCTCGCGGCTCGAAAGGTGGGGCCCTGCTCGACAAATGGGATGCATTCGGCGGTGCTGGAGAAGGGTTGGTAGAAGAACCAGATGTGCTGCTGCCGGCATTAGACGGTGGAGTCCGCTTGACGGCAGGCAGCGAGCTTGTGTGCGCGTGGCAGCTGTTGCCTGACTGCAGGTGGATCACGCCAGGGCCGGAGGGCTGATTTGTTCTGCCTCCGTGCCCAGGACGCTGTATGGGCTCCGGTCGTGCAATGGGGGCTTGCGCCCCCCGTTGGTGGTTCGTTGGGTGTGAGTGGCGTTTGCGCGGATGAGAATGATGGGTCGTATGCCCATGCGAGTGTGAGCGACCAGGGCTGATGTGTATTTGTGCGTGGGTGTTGTGTTCGTCTTCCTGACTCGCGTCCTGCTCGCCTTCGACGGGCTCCTCGAACGTGTAGCCATATGGATCGCTCTCTATGCGCTCGCGCTCCTCCTCGAGGCGTCGTAGCTTCTCTTCGAGTTCACCGAGAGTCCCGCCCGGGCCCTCAAGTTTTTCTCGCCTGGTGGACAACCGCTCCATGCGTCCCGCGAGCCCTGCCAGCTCGGCTTGCTTTGCTTCCACCCTCTTCCTCTCCCTGAGTTCGGCCTCCTCTCGGCGGCGGCGTACGTCGCCCGCCTCCGCATGCACACGCTCCCACTCGCGCTCGACCTCGACCCTTCTCTGCACGAGCTCGGGTAAAGACTCCTCGAGTTCTTGCACTCGTGCCTGCACCTGCTCCGCTGCAGCAAGGGCTTGACGGGCAGCTTCTTGCAGTGCTCGTGCTTTCTGCCGCGCTCGCAATTCCGCAGGAGCTGAGCGCTCGGACGCTCTCTTCAGAGCATCAATCTCCGCCCGCAGGGCAGCGTCAGCCTTCTGCGCGTCCCTGCGAGCTGACTTGAGCGTGCTCGTCAGGGTTGCATGTTCGGCGGTCAATACGGACAGCGTATGATTGAGTTGCATTCTTCGGTCCTCGAGTGAGAAGCTGGGCGATGGAGTGGGAGCGTCGGATGGGTTCGAGTGCGGGGGGATGGCCGTGCCGTTGGGGTCTGACTGTGAGTTAGCTATTGAGAGCGCCTGGTCAGACTGCTCCGCAATGTCTGAGACGAAAGATAAGTCTGCGACACCGTCGGATTCCGAAGGTCTTGGGGCAGTATCTACCAGGAGTTCGTAGCCATAAATAACTCGTGTCTAAAAATCCAAGGCATTGTGGAGACGCACCTGTTGTAATCTGACTTCGCAGGGAGCTCTCGGTCGGAACAATGCCGAGCTCAACATCGTACTGTCTGCCTGGCATGAGGCCAAAGAGGATAATGACCGCTTGGTCCGCTTCATCGTCGATCTTCATGAGCACCCGCTGCCATGGTGTGCCATTCACCTTCACGGAGAGGCCTTTCGAAAGCACATCTGAGACTATTTGAACGCCGCGAGAGCTCCCATTGCCCTCTGAAGCGTCTTCGTCTTCGTCATTTGTAATCCCGAGCGAGGCGAGTGACTGCTCGACTGAGGCGAAGTCGGAGGGACCTAGCGGTGAAGAAAGGATGAAAGTAGCAGATACGGACGTGATCTCTCGTACTGCAAGAGAGAGAGACGGGCGCCAGGGACGTATAGAATGCCATTGCGAGGGATCGTTCATGGCTACAGCTGAAGCCTCGAGAAGGTCGTGAGGAGTCGTAAGGTGGTTTCTTCGTTAAGTGCAAGATGAGAAGCCTCTTCCAAAATTAAGCAACAGTTTCAAGCACAAGGTTGTGGAAAGATAAATGGCGTCCTCCAGATGGTCATGACATTCGAAAGAAATGGAGCAAATTGTGGCGGAAATTCGGCCAAGCATACCTTCCATGATCGGCGCTCGCCGCATGAGGCAATATTAGGCGTCTATCCCGCCGTGATGCGCCCGCATGACACCTCCTGCAAGTCGCTGTCTAATCTCGCCAAAATACCAGCTTACATTCCAATACTGTACAATTCCAAACGCAACGCAATCCAGGATTTCTCGTCATCTATTCTAATGCTACAATCCCTGTGATCCTCTGAGATGGTCTACACATCATTCGATATGACGATGACTGCCTTGCCGATATTCGTGCCGTGGTGGACAGACGCAAGGGCCGCGCCAGCCTCCTTGAGAGAGAAGCGGTGCTCACGGTTGGTGATCTTGCCCTGGAGGACGAGCGGAGTGACAGCTTCGTAGAACTTGGGTAGGGCTGCTGCTGATGGGCCAGTGCCGACGGTGAAGCCGTGGATAACCAAGCTGCGCTCGAAGATCTCCTCGAAGTGCTGAGAAGGACTGGTGAGTCGCAATCCGCTGGATGTAGGTAGTGCTTTCTCACCTTGACAGTGCTTCCCTGGCCATTGCTGTTGGCTGCGCTAATGGCACCGCAAGCAATGATCAGGCCCTGGGAGCTCATGTTGACTAGAGCGGCATCGAGAGTGGGGCCAGCCACGTTGTCCCAATAACTGTTAGGCATCTCAGCACAAATTCGAGGTCGCAACGGACAGAAACGCACATGTCAATGGGTCCGTGTTCCTTGAGGACCTTCTCGATGTCCTCTTCCTTGTAATTGATTGCCACATCGACACCAATCTCCTTCAGGATCTTGATCTTTTCGGGCGAACCAGCAGAGCCAATAACCTTGATGTTGGGGTTGCAAATCTTCGCGTACTCGCAAACGAAGCTGAGTTGCACCTGAGCTCTACAGCCCAGCCAAAAATAGCCGAACATCACTCACGTTCCAAGAGGACCAGCAGCGCCAGAGACGAAAAGGGTCTTGCTCTGCTTGCACTTTTCCTTGGCGAAGGTATCGAACCCGACGTACGCAGTTTTTCCAGCAAGTCCGAGGGTGCCGGTATAGGCAGAAGCGGGGATGGAAGCTGGGCGGTCGATCTTTTGGATGTACCTCAAAAAGTGTTTCTGATCAGGGGGAGGCGGCCAGAGGGAATACTCCTGGAAGTCTGCAGAACGGTGAGTCTCCGATGCAACCGGAAAACGAAGCCACGTACTGAAGAATCCGTCGAGAAAATCACCAGGCTTGAAGTCGGGATCCTCACTACGGATGACAGTAGCAACACCGAAGTTGTCGACACTGTAAACAATGTAAGTGGCGTGATGTATCCCGCCAGCGGTGGGGAACCTACGGCTTGTTAAGCTGGAGAGGTGGACAGAATGCGGCGAGACTGCTCTCTGGCTCACGCATCCGGTAGCGCATGTATGGGTCACTGCTCACTGCGACGATCTTGAGCAGGATACCACCATTAAGGGGGACATTGTCTAGGTCGATTTCTTCCTCGACGTACTTGACCGTCTCGCCAGGAATTATCTTGTCCGTAGGCTGCTTGACATAGTAGATGGTACCATTCCTGACAGGAGGCATGTTCGAAAAATGTACAAAGAACGAGAGGAGCGGAGCGGTTTGGGGAGATGCAAGGGCTGCAGGAACACTTGCTTCCCAACACCATCGCACTTTTATGTACCTCGGTATGTACCTCGGTATGTTCCACGACTTAGCCGAGCTGCATATGAGTACCCAGCGTGCCATCGGTTACTATGGGGCGGAACCATCCTGGCCGTGAGATACCATATCGCGTCTCGGGCGAAGTTCCCGGTTTGCACAAGCTCGAACGGCGCACTGGACGGTTAACCAATCATTAATAATTAGCTGCCTTCATAAGACGTATGAATGTGCATAACTTGAGACCTCCGTGTCGGAATCAGATCAGAATGCACATGTGTTGAGGACGGGACGATCAGCTAGCCTGAAACAGGCCTATGTCTTATGACTTTCTCTTCTAAACCTCACAATCGAAGCACGAAACATGGCAAGGTCCACACTTTATAGCGTCGCTCAGGGCCCAGCTCGCTGTGAGCCGGTCGGTTCACAGCATATATAGCCGGTCGCAACCCAATTCAGTCGTGGGATGCGACACCCGACCTATCCCGCGCTCTTTAGACAGCTGCGCGCTGCGTCGGCTACTGCTGGTCAGTGGATGAAACCTCTCAAGATTCGCAATTGTCTCTTACAAAGCCATCTGCGGGCGCGTTTCGCGCATTGCATCTGTGCAGCGCCTCAATCAAGGCCGTTTCGGCGAGCTTGAAGCACTCAGGGGGAGCATACAGGTTTGACCGCGGTCGCAGCAGGCATGCAAAACGGGGTCTAGATCCTATGCACTTAACGAAGCGTGCTCAAATTTGACATCGCGGTGCCTAGGGGAAGATTGGCGAAGTTGAATATCTCGCTGTTATTATCTCCGCCGTTGTACACCGTTTTGCACTAGTCCTCTCTTCCTCTCGTCACCACCCCCCCTCCCCCAACCAGCCACCAACATGCAACCTATCAAGACGAGAATCACCGAGCTTCTTGGTGTGTCTGCCATGCTCTGGAGTCTGGACAGCTCTAATACTGCCTGCAGGCATCACTACGCCAATCATCAGTGCCCCCATGGGGTATTCCTGGTCTGCCGACCTCGCTAGTGCAGTCACGAAGGCAGGCGGATTTGGAATGGCTGGAGCAGGTGCGTTGTCCTCGTTTCTTTAGACTTCCCGACGCCAACCACTGTGCTGTCTCCAGCATTCGACACTTCAGAGCAATTACGTGACAACCTTGGGGGAGTGCGCACCGCGCTTGGTGTGCCGACGGGAAAGGTGCTGCCCATAGGCGTCGGCCTTGTGGGATGGGTACTCGACCAGACCGAGATTTCTGAAGATCCCCGCATCCCAACTGTGCTCGATGAACTGCCGAAGGCAATCTACTTCGCGTTCGGCGAGGACCTCGGGAAGTACGTCAAGGCCGTTCGGGACTATGAGGCGAACAGGAATCACAAGACGCCGGTGTTTGTCTGCGTCAGCACTCTCGAGCAAGCCCTCCGGGCAGCCAAAGAATGGCACGTCGACGTCCTCGTCGCCCAAGGTTAGCCCTCGCTATCCCCGCGCCGACGTCTAGTCTTACATACCGCGCTCTTTCAGGTATAGAGGCGGGAGGGCACTCTAATCTGCACGCTCCTCCAGTATCCATCCTGCTCAGCGCAATTCTAGAGGCTATCCCGAATGGGCCCCCGGTCGTTGCTGCAGGAGGGATTGCAACAGGCGCACAGGTCGCGTCGTTACTCACTCTGGGGGCCTCAGCTGTCATCCTCGGCACTCGTCTACTCTTTACCGAGGAATGCCAGTACACGTCCGTGCAAAAGTCGATTATTCTGGACGCAGGGCTCGGCAACTCGACGGCGCAAGGAGCATGCTTCGACGAGGTTATGGGCATGAAGTGGCCAAAGGATATAGTCGGGCATGGTGTCGCGAACAGGATCTGGACGGACCACCTTGAGGGCCTACCATTCGAAGAGCGAAAAAGGCGATATGACGAGGGAAAGGCAAACAGCGACACGGATCGTCTGATTGTGTGGGCAGGCAAGGCAGTCGGTCTGACGAAGGAAATCAGACCTGCGGGAACAGTCGTCGCTCAGATACACGAAGACGCTATACGCACGCTGAAGAAGGCATCTGCGCTCCTGTAGCCGTTGCGTCCATGAATCGTTATATTTGATGTACTAGTACTATATACAAATGTCTTTCTTTCATTGATGGTTGTGCTTGGGAAATCAAGCAAATGTGTTGGGAGGGAACACCATCGGCCCTGCGACGTCCTTGCGTTTTTCCGCGCCACAGAGGAGCTCAACTAGTGTCAGCGCAAAGGGAAAGGTCGTGCCCGGTCCCCGACTTCGGCACCCGGCAGACCGTCAGCGGCTGCGGTGCGTCTGTGGAAGAAGCACACACCTGGTTACGAGCTTTCCTGACACGACGACAGGGTCCTCGCGATAATCGAAATCTGAAGCCAAGAATCAGCACTGTCCATTCATAAGGCGCCATCCTTGTGCTACGCACTTTTCTCGAGCTCTGACTTCACGCTGGGGTGGGATGTGATAGGCTGCTTAGCGAGGCCAGATGTCTTCGCAGCAAGACTTCCTGCGATAGCTGTAAGCGAGTGCTATCAGTTTACACGTGCACAGCACGTACCGGCACAGATCATGCCCACAAATTTTCCCTCGTCCAAGAACCGGCGGACCAGGTGCTGCACAGGTGAGCTGGTCGAGATCGTCTCCGCACCTTTCGCACCGCCGGGGATGACTAACAGGTCGAATTTATCCTGTCTCCATATGTCCAGCATCTGTAGTCAGCACAACGCGCAGGAGGCTGTACACACCGGAGTGCAGTCCTGCGGCGAGAAGAACATATCGGGCAAGATGTTGATGCCTCGTGAGCCCCGGGCGAAGGGCGGGCTAGTGAAGCTGGCATCGTTGTCGGCTCCAGAAGGGACGTACGCAGATGCGCATGATACGCCTGCACGGACCAGAGTGTCGTAGGTGATGGTGCTTCAGTGTCCAGAAATTGGCGATAGAACCATTCAGTGTGTGCGAGTCCACGCACAATTCCATCTCCTCAGTCCCGTCGGCAATCAGGATGCAGGCTTTAGCCATGTTAAGGGGGTCTACAAGACGTCTAAGAGTGAAGATAGGTTTAAGCAGGGGCCGAAGTCGTGACAGTCGAGCGAAGAGTACTAGCGTCGCGCGTCTTGAAGTTGCAGGGCCAATGACGTCATATTGACATCAGTACATAACGGAGCTGGACTTGTATTTTTGGAATGGCTGTATCGTTGAAGACATGGTCGAGAGTACGCTCTCAAGGTACACAGCTAGTCCCCGAGCTTGTTCGCATGATGGCACCGGAGCAAACGGAACCAGTTGAATGCTTACTGCCGATATTCAGAGGACCCAAAAGTAAGATTGGCTGAGAAGCCACGTCCAGGTGCGCGCTTGTGGTTGCCAAAATAACGATCCCGCCGCTGGACGCTATCTTTCCTTCATGGCAGGGCGCCAGAAGAAGGCGAGCAAGAAGCCATGCAAGACCGCCTGTTGGAAATGGAAGGCCAACTCAACTCTGGTGAGTACATACCGACAGCAGACACGCATATAAGTGTGTCCCGCTGCGGTGACATGAGGGCCTTTGCCTACACACTACTAGTCGCAAAGTTCAAATCAGCTCCTCGATTTGACGTGACGAAAATCTTGCCAATGGATCTCCGTAAAACCATCGAGTTAAGTGAAGAGTACTTACAATGTAAAGGGTAAGTGCCTACATCTGGTAGAGAATGGGGACTTTAAGGAAATGGGAGAGCCCATCCGGGAGCGCGCTCGCTGCACAGGCCGGGCCCGGGCTCGATGACATGTCAACGGAAGCGATCGTCAGAAACGCTTGTTCGAGGAGCGAAACACCTGCGCAAGTCAAATCTCTACCCAGGCTTCAAGAGCTTTAAAAATTAAAACTCGACTTCAATAACCAGCAGACTGTTGCGAAGACTGAAGGCGATGTTGTATCCGCAACTTGAAGGCACGATCACTTGGTGGCGTTTGATGCGCCATCAGGCCTGAGATCTAATTTTCGATGCTGAACAACTGACATCAAGAGCCCTCCCGGACTCTCCAGAGGTACGCTGGTCAACGTGGCGTCTGACGTATTGCTACCGAATATAATAAGAAGGGGAGACGAAGACGCGCAATTCCCTCTTCTTCCCATAGTCGCGTAGCACTAGGCCGCCTCACTAGTAGTACTTGCAGTCCCGGACATGCCACGCCGGATTGTAGCACCCCCCAAACCCCCCTACCCGATCCCAAGAGCACATCCTCTTTTTGTAGGGTCTGCGGCGTTATACGTGTCGGGGTCGCATGGGGTGAAGATTCTAATAAACTTGAACCCCATGAACTGCTCTCTTTTGTTGACGGACACATATGGCAGGCCAGGCCTGCCGTCGAGGAAGGGCTGCATCCCGGCGATGATTCGACATGTAACTCTTCCAGTGACGATATCGGCTGGAACAAGGCGCTGCAGGACGGGTCGCGGGTGGTTACAGTCCGCGATGTCAAGGACGCGGCTCCAAAGCATGTGCCTTTTTCTGTCGGCATATATCGGCATTTTATGATGACTGTTGCACAAATAGCTATAAGACTTCCGAGTCAAACACCCACGCAAACATAGTAGTTGTTCCTGTCTAGCCGGTTCTCGTTTCGTAATTATATCGTTCGAAGAATCACGCGTTCACACGTCTTGTCTTACTAGCCTTGTACTTTCCTGCCTTCGGTGACCGAGACTGGCCTGGAGAGAGAAGAATAACGAGAATGAGAAGAGAAAAGAGAAAAGAACACAGACAATTCCGGAGAAGAAGTACTATCATTGTCTGATCGAAGAGGGCAATATTGTTTCAAGCGCCATGTTGAGAAGCTATGTTGAACTATAACAACATCTGTATGGAAAATTTCAGGTCGTACAGAGGATTTGAATCGGGTCTTGTACTTCAGTCATGTTCTTCGAAATGGTCGACGTCCAGCTTGCATCTTGGATCAAGAGAGAGTTATAGTAAGGCGGTTTGAGTTCGGCAGCCGTGCCCTGCAAAGCAAACCGTTGGGAGCGGCTTCTCGACACACGAGTGCATGCTACCAGTATACGCGCTCGCCGTGCATCAGCCTATACATCTACCCAGTTAACTCATTAACATACGCTCGGCGCGAGGCAGCACTTTACTCACCTACGCAATCGTCCTCCTACGCTTCGTCGCTCTGCTCGCCTCAAGGGCTTCCTCCTTGCGCTGCTCAACGCGCTGCAAGAACTCGACCTTCTCAAGGTATCCTCCCCCACGGCGGTGCACGTCAAGCTCGTCGCGAAGACCCGCTTCCGGCGGCGCGCCCTCGACGTGTGCACGCCAGTCGAGCGCGGACTTGTCGAGCGTCGTGAGCTTCTTGGCCTTTTGCGCGCCGGGCAGCGGCGCGAGCTGGGTTTTGGGCTTCCGCGGGCCCGGACGCTTTGTGAGTTTCGGCGCTGGCGCGTCTGAGGGCCCGGGGGCTGCTGAGCTTGGGCCTGAATCGGCCGGCTGGTCCTCAGGCCGCGGCGCGCTCTCGTCCGACGGAGGTCGCCAGATCGGCCACTTCTTGGCTTCTTCAGAGTCCTCAGGCACCTCTTTGATCTCTCTACACACAAAGGCTAGTAGGCGTCAAATCCTAACTACGCGGAGACACCGAGCGTATCGGGAGCGGGCACTCACGTCACATCTTCGCCTGCGAAGCGGTAGCGTTTCTCGATCTTCACCATCTGCACCGGCGGCTTCTCCGTAGCAGCCGTCGGAGGTGAGGAAAGGGAGGCCTTGAAGTCTGCCCATAGTGCTTCGCGAGTGCTGGGCGCGGGGGTGAGATCTGAGTATGTTGTGAGCACACTGGGCACGCACCTCTTCTTGTGCGCTTCGTCCTCTTCTGTGATAATCGAATGCGATTCCTTGGAGCCCTTCCCCTCGTGCTCACTGTCTGATCCTGGCTCTGGACAAGAACATTAGCGTCAAGAGTTCCCAAACCCTATGGAGCAGGATTGCGCACCGTCAGCGGGCGGGACGTAGTCAGGATCTTCTTCCGAGTCAGAGTCAAGTTCGCGTTTCTGTGGAGGCGACATCGTCCCGTCTTCTGCCGGGCAATAAGCACCGAAGAGTGAGCACTGCTACCGACAGAGGTGGCGGTCAGGAGCAAGTGACGCAGACGCCGGCCTTGTGGCGTCCGAGGACGGGATTTCTGACGTCCCACACAACACCGACACACCGGAAGAAAGCAGAATTGATTGATTGAAGCAGATAGTTATTGAAGGCGAACTTCAGCTATTCCTATGTACTTGAACTAATTCGCGCATGCGTCCGGTATATACCATCTTCACTAGCGGACGCTTGCGAGCGAACAGCGTCATTTGAGTCAGATTTGATTATACAAAGCAAAGTAAACAAGAATAAGAACACTAACAGTTGCGTTGCGTGCGAGATGCAGCGTGAAATGCAGAGATGTGCAACAAAACAGGGCAAGTGCGCAGGAGGCGCTTCGGAAGGGGAGTTAGGGATGTTAGGAGTGCGAAGCGGTAAAAGGATAACAGGAGGTAGGATATGGCAAGGAGAACAGGACAAGACGGTGCACAGACAATGTATGCGCAATGCAATAGATACGAGTCCGATCCATCGTGACAAGGAGCCCGAGGGAAGAATACAAGGCCAGCATTTTGGATTGACTACGCAGTAGCTTACTTGTGACGCGTGGCGCCGCCTTGGTGATTGTAGTAATGACCATTCTGAGGCTGTGCAACGTGAGCGCGATGCTGTGTGGGGACTTGCGAGGCGAGAGCGTGGTGTGCAGTTGACTTAGAAGTATGCGCCGGGGGCTGAGCGGAGTAACGGTCGTGTTGGCGGTTGCGGTGGCTCTCAAAGCTATCAGCGAAGGCGGCCTCGCGCGCTGCTTGCGCTTCACGCGCTGCCTGCAGTGCCGCTTGCTCAGCCAAGATATGGTCCTCCTGATCTGTGGCTTCCCGAACCAAGATCTTAATTTGAGGAAGCTCCTCCGCAAGATGTACGGTCTGTCCCTCACTCCAGTGATTCAGAACCCAGTCACGCACATAGATGCTCGACTGGACGGACAAGAGCGTTAGCGTCAACGCGCGGCGGAAATATAACCACAAACCTTCATGAACTTCTTGCCGGCGTACTTCCGGAAGAACGATTGATGCTTAGGCTTCTTAAGCACATAGTTAAGCATTAGGTTCGCCGTCGGTATGAGCGCACTCTCTGGATAAGACGAGTAGTGCGCTAGGTTTGGCGTCTACCAGAACAGGATTAACGCCGAAGAAGAGTAAGAGACCAACTCGACTCACCCATTCTGTCTCACCTACTACCAACCGCGCCAACCAGAGAGCAGCAGCAGCGACCAAGGATGGAGGCGCAGCGATCAACCTCCACTCTACGCATTGAATCTCAAGGAAATATTTGGCGATTGTTCGCGACTTGATGTTGTAGTCGTCTGCTTTGCTAGCCCGACGGAGGAAGTGCATCGGGTTGGGGTAGCTCATGTTCCAGTCGAGAGTTTTGAGAATGTACTTCTCCGCTTGTAGGATCTCGGCCTCGGTGTATGACGAATCGGCGCAGTAGAGGAAGTTATGCGCACTGGGCGCGACAATCTCTTCGACCTTAGCGGCAACGAAAAGGCAGGTAATCCCGACAAGCTGCAGCTTAGCCAGAGAAACGACGCGCTGGGACAAGAAACGGTCGATGATGTTGACAGCAAGGAACAGAGTCTCGGGGAACAAGCGGAACCTAGAGTGGACCTGAATCAGCCAGTCGGTGAGGATACCTCTCATGGTCCAAGCGAGATCTTTTTGCATCTCCATGTAGTTCGGGTTGGGCATAGTCGTTTGCTACCAGCCCATCAATCATCTCATCGGTGAGGAGTACTGGCGATACCACATACCTCCACCCCCTTAAGGTAGTTGAAAATGTCGTTAACGTACTCGCTGACCATGAGCGGGTCGTCCACGTCCTCAGCATCAAGATCTTGCCACTGGTCACCATCAGGATCAGCCTCGGCAGGCTCCTGCGGCTCGAACTCAGGGAACTCGTCGAGCTCCTGCTCAACGAGGAAGTCATCTTCCGGAGCATCAGAGGACGTGCGGCGCTTTTTGTAGGCGGGGAGATCATCCTCGTCATCAATCTCTGGGGGAGCAGCAGCAGCCTGACGTGCACGCTGCTTGATCTGCGCGTGAGACGAAGCTACTGCAGTGGACGAGCGCGCCACGGTGAACCGTCGCGGCGCAGGTACGGGCGCAGGCGCGGGAATATCGACAGCCATCACTTCCTCTTCCCGCGGGATAGGAGCGGGTTTAGGCTCGGGCGCCTCTTCCTCTTCCGGTACCTCTTCCAGCACAGTCTGCTGCTTCACCTGTTGCACATGTCGCTGAACTGAGCTACGGGTATGGCGAGTCGAAGTAGTGGTGACCGTGGTCGTGGAGCTGGCTACGGTAGTAGGCTTGCGGGAGGTCGTAGAAGGCGGCTTTAGGCTCTTCGTAGTCGAGGGTGGCTTTGCGGTTGAGGGCGGCTTTGCGACTGAGGGTGGCTTTTTGAGGACGACGCCCTCGAAGGTCTCCTTAGCCTTTGCCTTACCCTTGAGACCGGTGGTCGTATCCTTGGATGCATCCCTCTGGACGTTTGCAGCGGGCCGAGCAACCTCGCCGAGAGCTTCGCGTTTTCGCTTGCCTTGGGCTGCAGGATCGATTTTGGACGATGTCGCTGCAGCAGTTTTTGCACGAGTTGCAACAGTGGATGCGGTGGCCCGCGCAATACCTGTTGGCTTGGCCTCGGAGGCCGCAGGACCGGTGGAAGGGAGCTTCGCGCGTGTTGTGGATCTGAGTCTGGCGTTTGTCGCATTCTCCTTGTTGTTGACGACTCTGGTGGTCGTTCGTGTCGTCCGGCGGACCTATGCGCAAATCAGTGAGACATTCGCCGGGAATTGTCGGGATAACACTGACGGGGACTTGGGAGGACATTCCAGACGACTATTTCTCCACGTTTGATGAGATAAATAGTGTACAGGTATCGTAGACTTTAAGAAGGAGAAATGTAGAGGACGAAGTGGCAGGTGAGCGACGTCGTTGACGAGCGCTGTCCCGTTTTGTTCAACACCCTGCGCAAACACCTTCAAATAATGCGCCCGCGTAAAGTCACGTGAGCGCTCGTGGCTCTCGCGCGTCCACGCGCCGGTCGACTCCTTGTCTCGGTGCCCTTTGTCCCGGTCACATCTGCCAATGACTAGCACTCGACCAGGCTCCCGCATAGACAAGAGGAATAGGCACTCGCGGGTTTCCCACAGTCCATACTGTACATTTCAGTATTGCCATTTTCATGCGTCACTCTGACGTGTCCGCGGCGCAAACCAATCATTTCCCGCGTCCTGATCGTGATGAAGGAGATAGTTGATAGTGTAGAGAAATGGGCCCGGCTAATAGAGGCCTCATTGACTTGTCCCTCACCATAAGACTGGCCTGCAGACCTAGCCCAGCTTGTAAAGCCGAGAGCAGAGCAGGGTTTAATCCATGGGCGTTTAAAGCCCGCGCTTGCCGGTCTCGTCTTCGGACTTACGCCTCACGACCTTCTCCCATCCGCTGCCTCCGTTCCGCCTGCGACATCCCTCTGCAAGGGATAAGGGCCGTAAGATGTTTAGCTTACGTCCGCCAGCCTTTCGCATATGGGCGAAAGGCGGCAGTCGAAACATATCTTCGGGCAACAACGCGTTCTTTGGTTCGATTCTTCTTCCGAAGACGCGCTTTCCGCTTAGGAGCGATCCAGCAAAGGACGAGGCTATAGCTCGTAGGACAACTGAGCATCTCTATGAGTGGCAGGTTAGGTTCTTCAGCACTTAACACCGCATATACTCATACGTATGTGAAAGTAGTGGGAAAACGCAAAGGGCCCGCTATTCGTATTCCACGACGGTCCACCATACGCAAACGGAGACCTACATATGGGACACGCATTGAATAAAATCCTGAAAGATATCATAAATCGGTATCATGTTTCTGTTGGCGAACGTGTGCAGTGCGTTATCTCCCTTATGCCTATGCCTTCCGCCGTGTTCATGTATGCCCTAGTTATGTCCCTGGCTGGGACTGTCACGGTCTTCCTATCGAACAGAAAGTGTTGAAGGCACTCAGAGTAAGTCCTATGTAGTTCTACCATCTGGAGCTTGCGCTTATATAGGCGTAGAAAGATGTCGATGAAGTTTCCTCGGTCACTATTCGCCAAGAAGCGGAAAAATACGCGAAAGAGCAAGTTGAATCGCAGAAGGATCAGTTCAAGAGCTTGGGTATTATGGCAAAATGGGACAGGGAGACGACATACCGCACTATGGGTGCGCCTCCCTTTTCAGCTTGCTAGCACGTACACCCTAACGTCCAGTAGATCATGACTACGAGATGCGCCAACTCCGTATATTCCAGAAGATGGTTGAGCGAGGCCTAATCTTCCGCCAACACCGCCCTGTGCACTACTCGCCTTCTTCGCAGTCTGCTCTCGCCGAGTCGGAGCTCGAGTACAAGGACGCCCATGTTTCACATTCAGTCTATGTCACCTTTGACCTCGAATCAACTACTACCGGTGCACTCAGCGGTGTTGAAGGTCCTATAAGACTGCTGGTTTGGACAACGACACCGTGGACATTGACGGCCAATATGGTATATTTACCATCAAAGCGTATCATTCAATATCTGAACGTTCTTGTCCAGGGAATTGCTGTTAGCCCAGAAATGCAATACGTTGTCGGATGCAGCTCTCAGGATCCTGAAGCCGGAGCTCTTATCTTCGCCTTGGATCGCAAGGAAGATCTACAACCTATTCTGGATGGAATGGGGATTGATGAGATCAAGATAACTATCCCAGGTACGGTGTTATCGTCATTCGATGACTCACAATGGACACTCACCATACCCTCAGGTAGTGCGCTAGTCGAGCTGAAATACCGTTCATTGTTCTCTTCCAGGAACGATGCACCGCAAAGCCTGTCTATCCTTCCCTCCTCACATGTCACCCCAGACTCTGGTACTGGCGTCGTTCACCTCGCTCCAGCGCATGGTCAGGAAGACTATGAACTCTTTCGATCTCGTGGCCTGACTTCTGACATGGTTTGTCATGTCGATCGCCGAGGACGGTTCACATCCTCTGTTATCACCGTCGTTGGCGAAGCTTTCGCGGGACGCCTTATTGGCAAGGAGGTACTCTCTGAGGGAGGCAAGGCTATGGTTGACATCCTCACGGAGCTTCAAGTGCTGAAGAAGATCCAGCGATACAAGCATAGGTATCCGTATGATTGGAAGACCGACCAACCGATCATCATGATGTGTGTCTTGTCTCTTCTGGGTGCATATATGCTAACTTAAACCATCGTGCGTAGGGCTACGTCTCAATGGTTCGCTAACCTCGACGCTATCAAGGGTGATGCTATTAATGCGCTTCAAGAGGTTGACTTCTTTCCCGCAGTATGTATGTACATTCTCTTCTCAACTATGAGCTATGGCTTGGCACTCACTAAATTCCCCACAGCCCGTAACCGCCTCGAAGCTTTTGTTCGCTCTCGCTCCGAGTGGTGTATCTCTCGGCAACGCGTATGGGGCGTTCCCATCCCGGCTTTGTACCACCTCCCGACCGAGAGCGCTATCCTCACTCCTGACTCGCTCACGCACATTATCAGTGTCCTCGAGCGGAAGGGCACGCGGCGTTGGTGGAACGGCTCCGTCGCCGACTTTGTTCCGCCTTCTCTGCTCTTCCCAGGCGAGGACGTCGACAAAACGTGGGTCAAGGGCACCGACACGATGGACGTGTGGTTTGACAGCGGCACATCGTGGTCGTTGCTCGAGGGTCTTGCTCAAGTGGAGACGAGCCAGAAGGTACCTGGTCGTTATGCCGACGTATGTCTCGAAGGCAGCGACCAGCACCGTGGCTGGTTTCAGAGCCTGCTCCTCACCGCGGTCGCGTCGGCGCCGCTGAAGAAGCCGCCCGTTGCGCCGTACGGTGCGCTTATTACGCACGGCATGGTCCTCGACGAGAATGATAGGAAGATGAGCAAATCCATAGGGAACATCGTCACTCCACAGACAATCATCCATGGTGGCAAGGTGGACACATTCTGTATATACTCCTAGTAGTGGCGACTCACGCTTGCTTCAGGATACCAAGAAAGAGCCTGCATACGGAACAGGAGTCCTCCGGCTTTGGGTTGCCACGGTTGAAGTCGGGCGCGACATGTCCATCGGCCCCACCGTCCTGTCTCAATGCGTGGAGAACCTCCGCAAAATCCGCAACACGGCCCGATTCTTGCTCGGAAATCTCGGCGACCACCGTTTGTCGGACGAAGACAAAGCTCCAAGGGAGCTGTTAGGCATGGTGCGCGTCCTCTAATCTTTCGTTCATGCGTGAGTCTCATTGACACCTGGTGCCTAGACCGATCGGTACGTCATGCACAAGCTGCACGAACTCGAGAGCACGGCTCGCGAAGGCTACTCGACGTACAACTTCCCTAAGGTCGTCGCCGCGTTGTCTAACTTTGCGAATATCACGCTGTCGACGCTTTACTTCGATACCACGAAGGACCCACTCTATTGCGATGCCAAAGACAGCGTACGCCGGCGTGCTATTGTCACTGTCATGGAGCAGGTGACGGCTGCTTTGTTCTCAACTGAAAATTATCACTCAGAATTAGTCTAGCTTCTCGATACGATCACAAAAGTCATGGCACCCATCTTGCCCCACCTCGCGGAGGAGATCCATCAGACACGCTATCCCGAAGGCACAGAAGTCTCATCGGTTTTCTGTCAACCGTGGCAGCCTTTAGTACGTCCTCACTGTCTAGGTTTCTCGGCTGTTGCTGATAACGACCAGGACGCGGAGTGGCATGACCCCCAAGTCGAGTCTGACATGATCGAGCTTTTGCGGCTCAAGGACTTCGTGAATATTTTGCTGGAAAAGCCAAGACGGAACAAGTACGTAAAAGTGTCTGTTCTCCAAGGAGTGAGCATCACATGTTGTGCAGGGAATTGAGGTCGTCGCTCATGGCTGACGTCGACATCGTGATCCCGGATCGCAGTGCTGAAAGCAGCCGCATCGTGAAACTCATCAAACGAGAAGGCACGAATATTACATCTACGCTAAACTCTTCTAATATTCTCTGCAGCTGATGCCCTAAAGCAACTGTTCATTGTCTCGCAAGTTAATGTGGTCGACGATAGCTCTCTGAGCGTTAGCAAAACCGAGCGGGTGCCTCCTGCCTCGGTTGATACTTCTGGTTAGTTTTTGCGTTCTTGTCGCGAAAAACTACTTCTAAGCTGATTTGGAATTAGATGACTTTACTATCATGATCGATGAGGGCCTCCTGGGTGCTCTCAAACCTGTGTGGGCGTACACCCATTCACTCGAGATTCCTGGTAAATTTATCTTCTACCATCGCGCATAACCGCTTCTAAAGCTGCTTCAGGCTCAAGGGATCGAATTATCGTGCGTGTAAGGTCCGCAAACTCTCATAAATGCCCGCGGTGCTGGACGTACACTGCGGAAGAGGAAGGCACGCTTTGTGGTAGATGTTCCGAAGTCTTGCACCTATAGAAGCTTATATTGTACCATACTGCAGTTATACTGCTGCATCCCTACTCTTTAATACAATTTCTAGATTTATTGGACTGGTGTGCGATCTCCGACGACCTTTGAGTCTGCCGCTCGGCTAATAAAGTCAAACCTTGCGTGATGCGTTCGTTGCACTTTACTGACGACCAAAACGGGCCTCCGCTGTCGGCTGCTGGATGCACGCAACACTTTCTTGCTCAGCAAGATGTTTTGCACGAGCTGGCAGCGTTAGAGTTGTTGGCCGGAGTCACATCCGGCTCATTCATCAGATAACGCCTGTGTGCGCCGCGAAAAGACTTGTATCTGTACCACCACCTCCTCGCCGGGCTCTTTCCAAGTCCACAAGGATGGCGCCGCTGGAGAGCATCACGCAGTCACTCGCAAGCCTCTCGATCGCTCCGTCGGCTTCCGTGACCCACGCCGCCGCTAGCTCCCCCGCTGCCTGGCGCGAGGCCCTCGAGTCGAGCGAAGGCGCACCGAAGTCGTTCGAGCTCGTGAAAACAATCGTCTACAAACCCAAAACTGCCAAAACCGCGACGCCTGTCCCGCTCGTCGTCATCGCGAGAGAAAACACCGATGTCATCTCGGCTGCGCTGGGCAGGAAGCTGAATCTGAAGGAGCTCAGGCTCGCGTCGGAGGATCTGCTTGCAGAGTTCTTTGCAGTCGACAAGCATTCTCGTGCGTATTCAGAGGCTGATTTAGCTTGCTCTGTGCTTAGTCTTTATAGTGTCCCCGCTTGCTCTGAACGAGAACAATTTCTCAAAAGTTGCCGTCGCGGTCGACACGACTATCGAAGAGTCCTCCTCCACCTTTGCCATCCGCGGACTCACCACGGAAGCTACCCTCTTCATCACTGGACGCGAACTCGTCTCGTACCTCAAGCGTCTCGAGACCAAGGAGGCGCAGATCAACCTTGTCGACTTTGAAGCCCTCAAGACAGAGGCTCCCGCTGCTACTCCCGCTGCGCAGCCCGCAAAGAAGGAGAAGGAGGATGCCAAGATTGAGGGTGCTGTCCAGATTGCGATTGGTGTCAAGAAAGAGGTCGATTTCGCGACATGGTACACGAGTGTGCGTGGTCTACTCTCCGCGCTTTGTACTAATGGTCTGAATTGACCGTTAGGTTCTGACCAAGGCGGACATGATCGACTACTACAACGTCTCCGGCTGCTACATTCTCAAGCCGTGGTCGTATAGCATCTGGGAGATCATACAGGGCTGGTTCGATGCGCACATCAAAGAGCTCGGTGTCCAGAACGCGTACTTCCCCATGTTTGTCTCGGCCAAGGTGCTCGAGCGTGAGAAGGACCATGTCGAAGGTTTCTCCCCCGAAGTAGCTTGGGTCACACGAGCGGGTAGCTCTGATTTAGAGGAGCCTATCGCCATCCGTCCGACATCGGAAACTGTCATGTACCCTCGTAAGCATTTTCCGCACTGTCTCGTGGTTTGTTTCTCATTCTCTTGAAGACTACGCCAAGTGGATCAAGAGTCATCGTGACCTTCCCCTCAAGCTGAATCAGTGGAATAACGTCGTCCGATGGGAGTTCAAGAACCCCCAGCCCTTCCTCCGTACCCGTGAATTTTTGTGGCAAGAGGGCCACACTGCCTTTCTAACCAAAGCAGAGGCCGATAAAGAGGTTCGCGATATCCTCGACCTTTACCGCCGCGTCTATGAGGAACTTCTCGCTGTCCCTGTTATTCCTGGTGTCAAGTCTGAGAAAGAGAAGTTTGCTGGTGGTCTCTACACCACCACCGTCGAGGGCTTCATCCCGACTTCCGGTCGAGCTATCCAGGCCGCCACTTCGCATTGTCTCGGTCAGAACTTCTCGCGCCCCGAAATGTTCGATATTGTCGTCGAGGACCCGAACGACATCACCGGCAAGGGCAAGATATACGTCTGGCAGAACTCGTGGGGTCTCTCGACGCGTACGATCGGTGTCATGGTCATGACTCATGGTGACAACCAGGGCCTTGTCCTCCCGCCGCGCGTCGCAAGCGTCCAGGTCGTCATCGTCCCCTGCGGTGTCACCGCGAATAACCGCCAGGAGATGAACGACAAGTGTGAGGAGCTTGCCTCGATGCTGCGCAAGGCCGGCATTAAGGCGCGTGCGGACGTGCGCGACGGTTACACGCCCGGATACAAGTTCAACGACTGGGAGCAGAAGGGCGTGCCCCTTCGCCTCGAACTCGGCCCTGCCGACCTCGCGAAAAAACAAACACTGTCCGTCCGCCGTGACACTGGTGTCAAGGCGCCGCTCGCGCTCGGGGAAATTGCCAAGACCGTGCCCCAGCTCCTCGAGACGATCCAGGCGGACCTGTTCAAGCGCGCGAAGGAGGCATATGACTCGCGTCTGAAGACGATCACTAACTGGGGCGAGGTCGTTCCCGCGCTTGACAGTAAGTGCGTGGTTGCGATGCCCTGGTGCGAGGAAGAGGCGTGTGAGGATGACATCAAGGAACGCAGCGGCAGATCGTGAGTTTGCTTTCCTGCTGGTGGAGGGGATACTTCTGACTTGTGAATAGATCTGAGCCTCAGGACGAGCGAGCTCCTTCGGCAGGCGCCAAATCGCTTTGCATTCCCTTCGACCAGGAACGGTTCCCTCCTATCGAGCCTGGCAAGACGAAGTGCACGGCGTGTGGCAAGGATGCTAAGCGCTGGACGTTGTTTGGCCGCTCGTACTAAAGGAGATGTGTGGCATTGTGCTTTACTTCATGTGTTGGTGTGTTAGGTATAAATGGTGAATATAAAAGCTGCCTTGAACACGTCACTACTGCCAGCGTTTTTCGGACGCACGACTATATACGAACTTGAAGAAAAATCTATACTTTTTGTAGCCGAGGTTCATGTTCAGGCCTTCCCTTCAATTGTCAACCCTAGACAACTGTTCCCCGTAAGCTTGATTGAACAAGACCCAGATGCCCGAGAAGATTATATCAAAGCCACCACTTTCCGTCGGCTTTAGGCGCCATTGGCTAGTTTTTACACTGGGTTTCGCCTACTTTAGCTCGGCACGGGATAAATTAAAATTAAAAAAGAGGTTCTTGTATACCAAGAACTTTGCTTACCGTCCTGTGGAAGCTGTTGGTACATGATCCGATTCCGTGCCTAAAACTATGCATGGGGTATTCTCGCTGGTATGTTTCTCATGCGCTCTCATAGCTTGAAGCTCAAGTTGACGTGGACAGCCTTAACCTGAGTGTATGCCTCGAGAGCATACTCACCCATATCCTTGCCGTAGCCCGACTGCTTGATACCTGCAGGCAGAGCAGAGCAGACTGGATCTGTATCATACTCGTCAGTGTCTGCTAGCTGAGACCATGTCAAAGCTATACTCACAAAGCAGTTGTCGGCCTCGAGCGCATTCGAGATTCGGATCGCGCAGTTAACATTCTCACTGACTACGTAGCAGCCTCGAGCGCCTCCTCCTCGGTCTTGAACTTGGACACAACGCCAATAGGGCCGAAGATCTCCTCCCGCACAATCTTCGTGTCTAGCTTCACGTCAACGAAGATCGTCGACTTTATAAAGTAGCCTAGACCCTCGGCGCGCGAGCCGCCAGTGACGATGCGTGCACCCTCCTGCTTGCCGGACTCGATGTAGCCGAGTACGCGATCGAGCTGCGTCTTGGAGGCTACAGGGCCCTGCTGGGTTGTTGCTTTGAAGCCGTCGCCCTGTTTGATCGACGCCGCTGCGCCAGCGAAAGCATGTAGAAACTGTCGTAGATGCCCTCGCTGCTCACATGCTCAGCGTGCCCGGCCCGCTTCGGAGCCCGAGCTCGCCGCCACAACGGCGCCTGCCGCAGTGGGAGCAGAGACGGTCAAAGCGGAGGAGCGGGAGTAGGACATTGTAGCGCAGCAACAGCTCCTGCCGCCAAGCCGCCAGTGCCCACGGACGATGGCTCCGTGCGTCCGGGGCGGACGGCGTGAGGGACAGCGATTAGGAAGTGCATGTACAGGTTGCAGTTCTCACTACAGCATGCAGGAAAAATAACGGCGTTCAAAGTTCGCGTTGGAGGCGGAAAATGGAACGGAAACTCGAAGCGGCGCGGTTCCGGGGTCCTGAAGCGACGATTCGGGCTGACAAATCTCAACGGCACAGAAACCCTAACCCCCGGACCCTCTGGCCGCTTCGACACACCCACGTTAGGGATGTTAGGGAATGTTTGGAATGTTAGGCAACATCTGCAACACGAGAGAAATTTGGAACTTTTTTGTTACAAAAAATATGCGAAAACAGCCTGAAAAAATAAGTAAGAAAATGCCATATTTTTCCTCCCGGTATCCGGCGGCCCGGCGACTCGGCAACCCGGCAGCCGAGCCGATTGTCCGCCAGGCCATTGTCAAAGCGCCCGTGGCTGCGGCACCCGGCGGACAATCGGCTCAGCTGCCGGGTTGCCGAGTCGCCGGGCCGCCGGATACCGGGAGGAAAAATATGGCATTTTCTTACTTATTTTTTCAGGCTGTTTTCGCATATTTTTTGCGACCAAAAAGTTCCAAATTTCTCTCGTGCAACATGCGCAACAACATCTGCAACATCTGTAGCCTCTAAAAATCTCCTCTAACATGGGGTGTGGTTTTCCTGATGGACCTCGAACGCGCTTCAGCACGATGACTTAACTGTAGGTCACTCTAGTCCCAAAAATCGCATTTTGCGGCCCTCCCGGGTGAGATTGCGGCTTGACATGAAGTCCCCACCATAGACGCTCTAGACGGTGAACATGCCGCTTTTCGCACGCCGCTTCACGCTCGCACTCCCTCCTCTCCCCCCTCCTACCGTGCCACTGCATCAATTTTGTGACAACCCCATGCACATGGAGTAGTGACAGTAGAATTGATTTATATTAATTTTTTGCTCCCTAATAGCGTACAGGAACCCCGCTACAAGTATAATAGAGTACATATTGATCGTTAGGAACGAGGCGAATGCGTCCCTCATGCCTTCAGCTGTCAGATTTTTTCTCCCCCACAGTGAGGGGTGTTCAAAATCTACACGCGCTTCGGTCGCATTTCACTTTGTTCGAAGCAACTCTCGAAGCGGCGGCGAATCGGTTTTGCGCGCGAACTTTGAACGCCCTTATAATTATTGGACAGAATCATGATTTTGGCCAGACGAATCTCAGACAAAAGGATAAGCCTCGAAGACTCTCGAAGATCACGAAACTCCGAATCACAAAATCCGCCAAATCTTGGGCTCCATAGTCTCATTCGTGCAGCTGTGTACTCGGCAAGTGACGTGAAGGGCGGGTGTCTGGCTGATTGAATTTGCGAATACTTAAGTGGTTGCGCTCAGCGTAAAGTGCTGCCCACATCCATCACTTTTCTCCCCGCGAGCTTCGTAACAATTTGCTTCTGCCAAGGACCTTCACTCCGACAGGAACCGATGAAGCTCGTTGTTGTACTCTCTACATCAGGAAGCAGCGTCTGACTACGTAGCGAGGGCGCTTGCTACCCTGAGCCACCGCATCTGCCCTTGTCGGGTAGCGCACGCGTAGAGGCTCAGGAGTGCCTGGTAGTACCCAGTGGCAGCGCACACATTTTAGGGGTCACTACGGTATGCCAGAAATTATATATTGGTTATTCAAGCTACAATGTGCAAATTTGTATGCGGGACACACACCTATGTCATTACTGGACTAAAATTAGATTAATGCACCGAAGAGCAGCACTCCAAGGCAAACTCGTGTGGATGTTCAAGCTCAAGCTCAAGAGGCGTCTGCCGAAGTACAAAGACGTCTGCCCTAAAGTGTTGGATGATGGCGCGACGGACGAAGGTAAGCGCTCGAACATCTCGTCGTCCCAGCTTCCACACCAGCCCATGGTAATGCAGCTCGACCATCCCTTCGGTATGCTGCCGAGACTATAGCC